TACTGTCAGTGAATCTATCTATCAAAGATCTACAGGAGGTAAATTGTGAGCCCTAACAGCTCAATGGTAACACCTCTAACTACAACACTGGTTAAAATGTGTTTGAAACCCCGAGTGTGCCTCAGTTCATGAGAAGCTGTAGATATGTCTTGCTGACTAGTGGCAACAACGTAGAGATATACGTTCGGGGATTCCTGTCGACTGTCCTTAATATTCTACCACATGAAGGTCCAAACAGATGCAAACAGATTCAAGTTATGATAGGGATAATAATATTTCACTGCCAACTGATGGGAATCAGTCTTAAGTGATTATTATTATTACTATTACTGCTACAGCAACCAGTCAAGATTTGAATGGTTTTATAATGAAAAGCTTGGAATGGCAGTCACCTCTCTATCTCAACTTCATCGACTTTGAAAAGGCCTTCGACAGCGTTGATCGAGAGGTCATTTGGCAACTACTTCGCTACTATGGGGTCCCATCGACAATTATACATCTCATCCAACAGTTATACGACAATGCTGCATGCCAAGTAATCACAACGGGAAACTTACGGAAGCCTTCGAAGTGAGGATGGGAGTGAGGCAAGGCTCTCTACTATCACCAATGATCTTCCTGATTGCAATTGATTGGATAATGCGACAGACAACGGCAACCAACGAGGGAACAGGCATAAAATGGACTGACACAAAAGACTTGGAGGATCTGGATTTCGCGATGATATATGTCTGATTTCCCATAAACTGGAAGATATGCAAGTGAAAAGTAACAAGTTGGTAGAAGAAGCATCAAAGATAGGACTTCAAGTGAACATAGATAAAACAGAGGTGATCAAGATTCCTAGCCAACATCAACAGCAGCAACAACAACAGACAACAATAAGCATAAGTGGGAAGAACCTGAAAGAAACAACCTCCTTCACCTACCTGGGAAGCATCGTCTCAACCACAGGCGGAACTGACGAGGATATCAAAGCCAGAATCGGAAAAGCAAGACAAGCTTTCATTACTCTCAAATCTGTGTGGAGGTCAACAGCACTCAGCATCAAAAATAAGATCCGGATTTTCAACTCCAATGTAAAGTCAGTGCTACTATACGGATCAGAGACTTGGCGAGTCATAAAGAGCATCTCAAACAAACTTCAAACCTTCATTAACAACTGTCTCCGCTCAATACTCAAGATCAGATGGCCAGAAAAGATCAGCAACAGGGATCTCTGGGAGCGAAACAACACAGAAGGAAGCGATTGTGAAACAAATAGGCAGAAAGAAATGGAGATGGATTGGCCATACGCTGAGGAAACCATCAAGTGACATCACTAGACAAGCCCTCGAGTGGAACCCGAAAGGGAGGCGGCGAGTTGGTCGTCAGTGCGAGTGTGACTTGGAGGAGGTCATGTGAGGAGGAGATGAAAGCATGTGGACAGACCTGGAGCAGGGTGAAAAAGTTGTCAGAAAACCGAAGACAATGGAGGTGCTCAGCTGAAGCCCTATGTTCCTCTAGGAACTAAAGGATACAATAATAATAATAATAATAATAATAATAATAATAATAATAATGAAAAGATAATGTCGTAAGAAAAAACTGATACTATATAGAAAATGTTTTTTTTTACATTGTAATGACATAACATCCATTATAGGTGCAGAGTTGTCATCTTGTCTTCTGTTTTATTTTATCAGATATAAGCGACTCACTTAATCATGAATATCCAGAAAATGAATGACATTCAGTTAAGCAAGTCAATTAAATTTTGATAGATTAATTTTACATTTTGTATCATCTGATACTATCTTGACAACTGACGCAGTGTTTTTCCATCTTAACTAACTAACTACATGTGATGGATGATATGTGCAATGCTTTTAAATTAAGTATAATATCCATCTGTGATAATAAAATCTTAGATAATTACTATTGTATAAGATTCACTTCACTGTCACAGACAAAAATTTCAGTGTTCATATATTTCTGGTGATTATAAATATCTTCAGTTATGATCGAAACTGAAATATGAATGAATTCTTGAAAGGAAGAAGAACAGTTAATTCTTCTGTCAATTAAAGCACAATAACATGTATACACTCACTTAGAAGAACATAACTAAATTAGTCAGCCTTCTGTGATATCACTGAACCAAAACGTGTACTCAGTCATAGGTTACTTAATTCGTGAGACAATAATGTTGTTACTGATAGAATAAGTCAAGTTCTGTCTGTCTGTCTGGATTCAAGTTACTCACTGAATAGTATGTCTACTGACTGGTTAATTTTATATTACATTATCTATTAAATACAGCTAATCGATGGATGTGTAAACGTTAGCGTCAGTTAGGATTACTCCTTTGAAACAAAATTTGGCCGACTAAAAGTTGTTTGTCATTATATACAGATAGCATTTGCTATATTTCTGAAAATAAAATTGATTCCAGTAAGAATGTTGTAAGTGGTAAATTCAATGGCGTTCTTATAGAAATCTCATTTTTAATAGATGAAGAATGAAATGATACCGTTTTGGTGACAAAGTTAAATTGTGCTCTAACATGAAGTATTATTGGAAGTACAACAGTGAAATGACAATACACCTTGATGCTAGAGTAACTTGATGGACTGGTGTATTTTACAAAAGATCTCTGCTTGAAAGGATTTCCATGGTGGTGGTTGTTTTCCACTAACAATTACCTGATTAGCTTGGATTGGCATCCAGCTAAGTTTGTAACTAAATATTTGAATATTATAGACTTAGTTTCTGTTTTATTCCGTAAGCTTTCAAAATGAATTTGGTCGTCATCGCGAATAAATGAACTCAACATATTTTTCATGTGTGTGCACATTTATGAGCTTTTTTGTGGCATAACTAGCACAGAAGCTGACATTTGACGCCTTTATACTTTATTAACCTGTACACAAAATTCCAGGTGGTTTGACCTCTGACCATTGTATCTATTCCATATTAGACTTTAATTCAAGAACTTATTGCTAATTTGTTATAATTTTTAATATTGATCTTATGACGAATTAAATCACTTATGACATTAAAGGACTTCCACTATACTATCCTTCAATGTGTCTTCTAGGATGAATTGACTTTGTTTAATGTTCTTCATCGGCCAACACAGTAAATAGTCTTGCTTTTACAAATACTACCTGACTCTGCCAATTAAAGTTCTGGCGTTTTCTTGTTTTCATCATGATGACATTGTTCTGTAGCCTTGTCATATTTGAGTGAAGAGTACCTACTTTTATTATCTGAAAATGAGTTTCTTTTTTATCAGTATTTTTTAAGTAATCAGTGGAAAGTAGTGATTTTGTATGTTAATGTTACGATAACATTCTTCCGATCACTGAATTGTTTCTAGACATACTTGTTAAGTGGTAAAAAAGAATACAAACCTGTGTTTTATGATTCACTTTTCCTGAGTAATAATTTTTAATGGTTCAACTATTAAGACAGTTGAACCCCCACCCCTTGTTGCAAGCAAAATTTCAAAGAAAGAATGTCGGAAAATTGAAGATGAAATATCTGATTGCATCGCAATCTTAGTTCAAGAAATAAGTGACATTTGCTATCGCTTACGAAGAAGATATACGCATCTTGATTGTTGCACTCATGAAATTAAGGATGAATAATGGACACGTTTATGTGCTATAAAAATCAAAACAAGTGATTCAGCGAAGAGACTCTTTTCAAAGACTTATCAACCGTACCCAAGAAAATACTTTACATGAGCTTGGAATTCAAAGGGGACTTAGCTTCCGATATCATGAAACGAAGGATATCACAGTCCCTGAAAAGAACATTCCCTGCTGCATCTCTGAGAATAGCCTTTACTAGCCGACGATTACTGTTCAATAACCTGAAGGACAAGATCACGCTGTTGACCAACTCTATGTGTGTTTATCAATTCACCTGCTCGTGTGGAGCTAGGTATATCGGTCGTTCGACTCGAGTTTTGTCCAAGAGAGTGCAAAAACACTATCCTGCATGGCTACGAAAAGGTGGAAATGGAGCAATAAGAAGCGCGATTATTGAATATCTGGTCGATAATGATCACCCTATCTCTATAGCCTCTGCCTTTAAAGTCATCTACAAGGCAAAGAGTAATTTACCTAAATCACTACGTACCCGACTCATCTGTATTGCTGAAGCTTTGGCTATCGAAACAGAAAAGCCAGATCTCTCTGTACAGAAAAAGTTCGTTCAACCCCTCCAACTTTCATGGTCTTAATCCCTCTAAGCTAAAATATGGTAATCCCCAATCATATTTTAGCGCTACCAGTTTTTCATGTTTTCATTTTGTCTATTCAATTTGTATACTCTTTCTTTGTTACGTCAATTATTATTATTACTATTCTCACTTTGAACTGTCCACGGTATTATTTCACTTGTTCCACTTGTCATTCTAAATCAATTCTTTTTTACAACGATAAATGCTATGCTATTAAATTTCACACAATATTACGTAACGTTTTTATTTTATTCGATTTGTCTACTAATCCTATAATTGCACATCCTTTTTCAAGTTCTATCCCTCCTATGAATTATTCTATATATGACATTAATTTGCTTTGCCACTTGACATTTAACTACGATTATAATCACAAACATTTTAGTTTTAATTGAACTTCATATGATTATTATTATTATTGTTTTATGCATTCACACCTAAGATTCAATTCCCTCACCGGATATAACTTCTTAAAAACCATATATATATGACTGTTCAGCTTGATGATAAATTCGTTGAAAAGAGTCTCTTCGCTGAATCACTTGTTTTGATTTTCTATATGTTACAATGGGAATTTTCTATGTGATATAACACAGAATGAACCATAACAGCTCAAAATATTTACTTAAGTTTCTCTTTTCTTCTTCCAGATTTGAAGATTTCTGTGATTCTTTGACTTTTATTGTCAATATTAGAATATGTGCAAGTTGTAAAAGCTTTACCTCTTCGCTTTTATGAGATTTTATTCTGTTTTTTTTTATTCCTGTAGTTACCGAACTCAGTGACTCAATATGAAGATGTCGTTAGTACACTGCAGAATAGTTCAGCCTCTTCAATCACATTTGAGAAGATAATTAATGCATTACTACATTATGCTATTCAATATAATCATATTGATTTCGTTGAATGGCTACTGATTTGTGGAGCAGGTATGGATAACTAATTTCAGCATACTATTAAATTTGATTGCTAATCACCTAGAGTACCATGTTTCTTCCCTATACTGAACTTATAGTTGTAGTGTATTATAATAGAAGCTACCACATTCTTAACGAGATTTTAATCATTAAACTAATATATTTCAATTTATTGAATTTAGGCAGTGGCCATCTATTATTACGTATATTTCTTGATTTCCCGGAAAACAAATGTTCACTATCTAACTTTTGATCTTTTGCCTTCATGATAATACTCAATAAAGCCGGGATGAACATTTAAAGTCACATCATGCGTTAATGATGCACTCACCTAAACATATAAAGATGAGTATACTGCACAACAAACCTCTCTGTTCTAAACTGTGACTGTAATCCAGACATAAGAAGTAGGATAGACGAAACGGCTGCAGGTTTTGCTTCATCACAACTGGCTTTTTAGCACTGACAACATGTTGTAGAAGCACAATGATAATAATATTATAACTAGATATCAGGTATTCAACAAGAAAAGAATTACCTATGACTGGAGTGCCTGACAAAGGTATTACATTTGCCAAGATATCATCTTTTTAGAAGGCTATATTTGCTGAATTTTGATTAGATCTGATAAAAGTTTATAGATGGGGGAAAAATACGGCCACACTCCATGAATTATCTTACTGTTGGTGTGGGCTTTGTAAGTAAATCTAAGCTGTATGGATGATTACCTCAGGAGACCGTCCGCTCTAAACCTTCACTTTCAATAGAGTTATATCCATCACGTTTATATTGTGTTCTCTATGTTAAAAGACTTTCAATTGATTTAAATGACTGGGATATTAATAAGTATAAAGCTTGAGTCATTAAATTGTTTATTTTCTGATGACTGTTTCCCCTAACCATAATATTAAGTGTGTCAAGCTTAAAGATTCAAGAAATAACGCTTTTCTCATGCCTAGTTTGTGAACTCAGAACAGCTCTCCACATGTGTTTATAAATGTCGGAATAGATTACCTCTCTATTAAATATTTAGAATATATTTAGTTCATAGCTTCTTAATACTTCGGTAGCACAAAGGTAGACTGCTTGCCAACTACGCATGCGGTTCGGGGTTCGATCCCCGGCTGACTCACTCCTTTACTCGTTAAGCCAGTAATAAGACTGATGAAGAGAGAAGGTTGGGCATATGGGGCTAGCAACCCCATCCGTAAAAATATACACCACTGCTACTGAAACTTTAATCGTGAAGCCTTGAGCTCCATTCGGGGAACGTAAAGGAACAAAATAAATAAAAAAAAATAGCTTCTTAGGAAACACAACATGCTACTAAAGTGAGTATAATGCATTATCCTACAACGATTGATGTCCAAAGCATTTTTTTTAAAATTGGCTAACTCTACTTGCTTAAGTCGACGGTAAATACATCCTGACCAACCTTTAAAAAGAAAGGTAAACTGCCTCCTTAAAAACATACCTGCTTGACACCTTTTGTCCAATGAAGATTTCCTGACGAATATTCTTTATAGCATTCTTATGTAGTTGAAAATTCATGAAATTATCATTCATATTTCAGTTTTTGTATTATTTCAAAGAAATATCTCAATCTTCAGTAAAAATTAATATAATTAATTTCCTGTCTTACCGGAATGAAATTCTCCGTCTACAATCTACATTTCATTCTTTCAGATCCGAACAATATTAATGAACTAGGAGATCAACCTATTCACTCAGCAGTACTTGGAAAACACTTGCAAATACTTCGATTGTTAATTGATTTTGGTGCCAAAGTGGATATGAAAAACCAACAAGGTGCACAACCTATACATTTAGCAGGGGAAGGCAATTTTCTTGAAGGACTTGAGGTAAGCCATTTAGTTTACCTTTCTCCTGACTTTTAGACAAAGTAATTTATTTGTTAATTATATCATTGTTGAAATATGAGGCTGAAATCCTATTGTCGAAAGAAAAGGAAAGAGTGACTCATGGATACAGGAGAGGTATGTAGTGGGTAAAAAGCCAAGGGATCCACAGTGCCTAAATGTTTTCTTTCCGAATGGATATATGAAATTTATTTAATCCTATAGATACAGTTTTCACTAAGTAATCAATAAGTAAGCAAATGACCAGTGATACAGGTGTAACAACAGAAGACAAGAGACAGGCAACAGATCCTTTATTAAGGAAATCAACACGTATTTATATATTTACATGTACATTATTATAGCTTGTTCAAGCAAACAAACACACTCTTCTGATTGGCTGTTTCTCACAGAAGGTTAACCTTGCATCTCTTTGTGACTGTTTCTTGAGTGCCAGATCATCTATATGTTAACTCTTTCTGCCTTCGCAAAGTCTTCTGTGATTGGTTGTTGAATCAGTCTTTGTTCATATTTTCTCACGGCCAATATTTGGGTCATACACGCTGACGTAAATAATTGTCTACCAATTTGGTTAGTAGTCTACTCTCACCACACAGGTTTAAGAACTAAGTGTATCTCAATAAAAGCTAGGTTACCATATATTTAACACCCTGAGTCGAATGCATTTCACAAAAACTAATAGTGGATTCAGTATCACCTGTTGAAAGCATGAAAGTGAATCTCCTTATATTCAGATATAGACGTTTTAACAGAATACGTTAAGTAAACTTTATCACAAGACAGCTAAATTGGTATATACCAAGCGATAAGCACAAATTAGGTGAGAATTTTCTCCAGGATATGAGTAATGAATACAAATATCCATCGGCAAAACGTTTTATATGCTGGCTTAGATTGAACTATCAACACGAGTTGACTTGGAATGTCTTCATTAAACTCTATATACAGAAACAAAGGTCTTTTCTTCAGTGTTGGAAGTTTATCATTTGGTTTCTAATGACTTATGTTTCTTTATGTGAACGTGTCATCACATCACTTTTTGTCTGAATGTAGTTTTCGTGTACAACATCACCCAGGGTAGATTATCCTTCTCTATATATTAAAACCTCGTCAGATTTGGCCTCATTTTAAGTAGTTAAAGGAGAGTCTAACGATCGTCTTCCAACGAGCACTACTTTCCATAGAATCGTGCCGCATCAAAGGGAATAAAGTTTATTCTGTTCACGCGAAACAGACTATTGAATGAAGTGACTTGGAATGAAATATCAGTCAACAGTAATTTAGTAGGAAGAGGCGCTAATTACCTGTTTGTTAAGTTACTCTTCCTTATCCTGTTTAAAAACTGAAACACAACTTTGGTTCTATATTTTACTAGTCTGTCAAGCAAAGTTTGTGAAAGGTTTACATGCTTTTTGTGATTTTTTGATAAGGTGACAGTTATATTTCTAAGATGACAGTACCAAACAGAACTGTGCGTTCATTTTCGGCAGGCTAGCAGTATATGCAATCACATTAACAATTTTCATTTTTTTATATGTGAAAGAAGAAATAAAACTTGTTTATTTAGATGACAGTGCACATCATTTGCATGCCTTTCAGTAGGTCTTTCAGTATACCTTGTAAAATTCGATTAGTCTTACTAAATGGATATCATTTTGAAGGCATTACTGGCTATGTCTACAAACACAACACCAACTCACTAGTTAGCTTTAACTATTATAATTTTTATTTACTTTTATTATTGTTCTTATAACTCCATTATGAACTTTAGTTAGTATGGTTTTGAAGGTATACTTGTTCTTCATATAGTAGTGTGATGAGAGCTGGTTGTTAGTCAAAATTGGTGGACAGTAATTTACGTCAATGTTTATGTCCCAATATTGGTCTTGAGAAAAATGAAAACAAAGACTTTGCGTAGGCGGATACAGTTAACATATAGATGATTGACATTCAAGAAACAGTCACAAAGAGATGCAAGGTTAACTTCCTGTGGGAAACAACCAATCAGACGAGTGTGTTTTTCTGCCAACAATAATCTATAATATGTACATGAAAATCCATAAATATGTGTTGATTTCCTTAATAAACGATCTGTTGCTGACTCTTGCCTTCTGTCATTGCAGTAGTACCGATACCTTCCCGAGTTCGCTTAAAATTTTTACAACATTGTATTAGATGAAGCAGATAAGTTGTAAATTAATGCCTTCTTGAAAAATTTCTTTACTGGTGTTACAGAATTTATGTTAGAAAGAAATCCCTTACATCTGTAAATGACTGATTAAGATTCAGACTTAAATATAATGAAAGTATTTTTCTAAATTTTTAGAAAATTTGCATCATACTGCTAGACAGTTTATTCCTCTAATCTACTGTATTCGTTTTGTGATTGTTAAATTCGCCTGATGCATTTGATAGACCGAAGTATCATTTTGCTCGAATTGCTAAAATGTGAACTGAATAACAACGCGCTTGCTTAGTAACCTCAAAGTTCTGGGTTAAAATCCTGGTGAGGTGACAGTTACGCACTGCTGACGAGTCATAAACCAGGACAAAACTCTCTGCTTTCCAGTAGTCCTCCGATTGATATAGGTTTGTGAGTTTATATGCATAACTATTCTCACTAAAATCTTGACATAAATTCTAGGTTTTTGAGTCGAACAGTGAAAATCAAGAAGTTACTGTGAACTTGTAATGCTCAGAGTTTATAGTGAATCAATCAATCGAACTCAGATGTTTTAAAACCGTTTATTATTCACCATAGTCATGATATTAAATAAATAACACAACAATCGGTGAAAGTAATATTGTCGAAACTGTCAAAAATGCTTAAAATCTAAATAAAGCACTTTCATAATGAAAATATATACATTTAGCATTACACTAAATAAATTCGTTTTTATTCAGGGTTTCATCATGAGCTGACATCAGTTAGAGAACCATTGAAAAACCACCTGAGAGCACTGCCAGACAGCTGTTTCGTTCTAGTTTGGGACTATTCAGGAGTACGCACCCACCACCATGGTTCGAACCCAGGACCTTCTGGTTACAAGGCGAGCTAGCTCGTATACCATTAAGCCACTGGACCCGATCCAATGGCCCACGAATTCTAACTTCTGCCAGTTCACGACATAGCGCAACCCTAGCCAATGTCTTTGGCGAGTATTTGTCCTCACACCCGACTTGGTGCACCCTAATGGTCACGACTTCTCAGTAGAACCCCAGGTAACTAACTACCTGAATGGGGTAAGTCGCTAGTGAGCGTCTCATTGATATTCAAGTGTTGATTTGTAGGGATTTGATTGATTGGTCACAGGATTTCATCGTGAGCTGACATTAGTTAGAGAAGCATTGGAAAACCTCTCTAACTAATGTCAGCTTATGATGAAATCCTGTAACTAATCAAATCCCTACAAACCAACACTTGAATATCTTTTTTATTCCTTCACGTTTGTAGTGGAACGTAAGGCTTCAGGCTTGAGCTGTGAAGTTTCAGTAGAAGTGGTGTTCTTTTACACGATAAAGTTGCTAGCCTCATGCCTAACCTTCCCTCTTCACCACTCTTATTACTGGCTCAGCGAGGTGAAGGAGTACGATAGCCGGGAATCGAACCCTGAACCACATATGTCATTGGCGAGCATTCTACATAAATTTATTGAGTGATAATTCAGTTTACAGCAGAATTATACTTGCATAATATTTTATTCATGCCCAACATTTATTTCTTGAAACAATGATTAAAGGTCACAGTAAATTAAAAGTCACTATTTGAAGTGTGATAACTGAAAATCAATGTCAACAGGACGTACCAGCGACCTTAGTGAACCTTTTTCCCGCTATGAAATTCAAAATCTAATATTATTAGGCTAAAGTAAAGAGCTTATCGGTTGAGACCGATATATTTCCTGTGATGATTGTGCTATGTATCTGTAAGTAGGTAACACATTTAGTTTTAAATATATCTGGCTTTTACACAGAGACTCCAATCAGACATCCACAACTTCAAACTCCTGAATTACCAGTATCACAGTTCATTGTAACCATTTTATCCAAGAAGTATTTTTATTTCAATGGAAGTGTTTTAAAAGAAAAAGACAGTTTTACTGAAAAATTCTTCTTAGCATCAAAGTGGTTCCAACATGAAAGCTTTTGCTTACATGGTAATAGACAAATGCCAAAACTGTATCAGAGCGTACACATTGTTTGCTATGATTTTTTCTTTTGTTTATTACATTTTTAACAGCTTCTGCTTGAACTAACACAAGATGTGAATATACTGGATGATGTGGGTGCAACACCGATTCACTACTGTTGTTTCAAAGATAGTGCAGAATGTTTACTGTTATTGGTAAGAGCATTTAAAATGACAGAGAAATACATAAATTACTGGTAACAATTATTATTACTATTATCATGCAGCTTGTTTTTTCCTTCACATTCCCAGTGGAACATAGCGCTCAAGCTAGTGGCTTGAAGTTTCTGTAGCGGTGTTTATTTTACAGGATGGGGTTGCTAGACTCATGCCCAACCTTCCCTCTTTACCAGTATTATTTCTGGCTTAGCGAGGTAAAGGAGTGCGTCGGCCGGGGATCGAACCCCGAACCATGTGCATAGTCGGCGAGTGTCCTAACCGCTGTGCCACCGACGCACACACTATTATCATGCGGCTTGTGGTGTTGGCTAAACTCCAGTGAGACTCATGTGAATACTGTGACAGAAGTGTATATCATTCAAGACTGCCTAACTTTAACCAAGTTTTATATTATTCATACTAACTACTCTACAGGTAGATGAAATGGTTTGTGAAAAAAAAGAAACAGTTATGTAAGCCTAAGATCTCGAAAATAGCTTATTGATATCTGCTGACTAAACATGAATTAAAAATTGGTCTGAAAAAGGAGTGTTCTTTTCATTACACTCTATTCAGTTCTTCACAGTTATAAGACAAATTATCTGTTACCAAAACAATAATAGTCAGTTAGGCAGTAAATCCGGATTTTGAAATCCGATGTGAAGCTACTGCTACTATACGGATCAGAGACTTGGCGCGTCACGAAGGGCACTTCGACAAACTACACACGTTCATCAACAGCCGCCTTCGCTCAATACTTCGCTTAAGATCAGATGGCCAGTAAAGATCAGCAACAGGGATCTCTGGCAATGAGCGAACCAATCCAGCAGGAACCGATTGTGCAACAAATATACAGGAAAAAATGGAGGTGGATTGGTCATACTCTGAGAAAACCATCAAGTGTCATCAAACTTCAGGCCATAGAACGAGTGGAATCCGAAAGGGAGGTGGCGAGTTGGTCGTCAGTGCGTGGGTGACATGGAGGATGTGATGTGAAGAGGAGATGAAAGCATGTGGGCAGACTTACAGCCAGATGAAAACGTTGGAAGAGAACCAGACGCAATGGAGACGTTCGGCTGAAGCCCTATGTCCCTTTAGGAACTAAAGGAAACAAAAATAATAATAACTGTGCGTCGGTAGCACAATAGTTGGGGCTCTCGCCGACCATGCATATGGTCCGAGGTTCGATCCCCTGCCGACCCACACCTGATATCTATGGTCAGCCTGCGAAATTTGGGCTACCGATATTCATGCTGAAAATTCCATACTTGTACCAAAAATACAGTGTGGAATCAAGCTGTAATCAAAAATAATAAATAAAATAAAATAATATAATAATAATAATGCAGAAGATATACTTTTTACAAAGCAATAACGAAACCTAATTTATCTCATACATTTTTGATATTTCATCTTTCAGTCAACCATGTTTTAGTTCCTCTAGAAATATGTCTATAGTAATAGGAACTAGGAGAGATCTCACAGCTCCTCCATCAGCTTGTTTGTACTTGTCACTTTTAAACAGGAACTGAACATTCGTTATACATCTAAGCATTATTTCCTTCAGATTAAAGACAATAGTATCAGTGTACAACATTTTTTTAATCATCTATTTTCTATAGTTTGATTTGTAAGAGTTAGTTTTGTTTTTACGAGTTGATCACGGGTTGATATCAACTGGAGAACTATTTAAAAAACCAGGGAGTACCGGACAGGTATACGAGCTTGCTGGCCTTGTAACCGGAAGGTCCTGGGTTCGAATCCCAGTGGATGCGTACTGCCGACGATTCACAAACTAGGATGAAACAGCTGTCCAGTGCTCCCTGATTTTCAATGGTTCTCTAGCTAATCATCTATTCACAAATATAATCGGTCCTTTTCACCTGAAGAATATTAGTTTACAAGGAAATGACATCAACAGATGTTATTTATTTATTAGTTATATCCAGGTATTTTATTTTATTAATAAAGTGAAAGGTATGCTTGACACTGTACCAGCTACTTTTTAGTCGTGTGGCGAAGTGAATGCGTTATGTCTAGGATATACACTTCTGGTAGACACTACGAGTGTGAGACGATCTCAGTGAATTTCAGTTAGTTTATAACTAGATGCAGAAGGGTAAATTAGATTTTTAAAAACTTAAAGCAGACTTCACGAGGAAAATTCTTCCAGTATCAAGGTGTTAGAGAAAATATCACGTTAAATTAGTGGTGATGTGAGACAGATAATTCGTGCCGACGGAATATTATTCTTACATATTCGTACAGTTCAATTCAGCATTAGCAACATAATACGATGCATCTATCTGAAAATTCTATTTGATGTTCAAGACAGAATATGTTCCCACAGTTAAATATTACATTGGCAACTTAATACTATGTATATTTGAACATTCTATTTCATATCGTTTGATGCAGATCAAAATCACACGCTCGGTGATTAGTTAACGAATATAAATTGTAGATGCATAAACAGAGGTTAGATTAATGAAAAATAAACCTTGTCTCCCGTGTCTTGCCTTATGTTGTTAAAGATTGAATTTAGCAACAACCCATCCATTTTAATATCTCGTCGGCGTTAGGCTACTTCCTCAATCTGACAGACACGCTTAGGAAAATTTACACAAATCCCTTTTTGATGAATGTTAGACGGAATATTGCAATGGACATGGAAGAAGTGAGCAAGTTAAAATTGTGCATACGTCCGATCCATGTATGTTTCCATCGATATATTTGTAAGGCGATAGGTTCTTGGCTGGTGTAACTGCACTATCGAACATTCTGAATTTTCACAAGCAAATCACTTAGCCTAATGTCAGCTAACAACATCAAATATACAGATGTTTTCATATCTCACTTTAGAAGCAGTCTTGCAGGAAGTTAGTGTTTCAAACAATCATGTTTCTTCACCTGTATCCTAACAGGGCTTCATATTTATTTGGGGAATTTGAGTATGTATCAGTTAGTTTTTTTAAGTGAAAGATGAACGAACTTCAAAAATTTATTTCTTGTCATGATTATGTTAACTCTAAGAAATAACTATGGTAAGCCTCATAATGTGTGCATCACAGATCCCAAAGTTTTAATTTACCTGCAAATGACTGACTTTCGTAAGTGGCAATCAGTCTGAATACTAAACCGTGAATAGAAATTTCAAGTTTCATAAAAATTTAGGGACAAAATTAAACTGAGACAAAACACACTGAGTAATTCAAGTATTGCTTTGTAGAGATTTGATTGATTGGTAACAGGATTTCACCATGAGCTGATATCGGTTAGAGAACCATTGGAAAACCTGGAAGTACTGTATAGCTGTTTCGTTCTGGCTTGAGACTCTTTAGCAGTGCACACACACCAGGTCTCAGTGGCTCAATGATCTAACGAGCTAGCTAGCCCTGTAACTAGAAGGTCGTGGGTTCGAACCGTGGCGATAGGTGCGTACTGATGGAGAGTCTCAAACTAGGCTGACGAAACTAGCTGTTCAGTACTCCCTGCAGGTTTTCCAGTGGTTCTCTAACCGATGTCAGCTCACGATGAAATCCTGTAACAAATTTTGTAATGATGAGACTGATAATAATTTTTATAGAAAACTGGTTGATTTTTTTAAATAATTATTACTTTTATTACCGTTAAGATAGAGCATGGTGGCAATATATATCAACCTAATGTATTTGGAACGTATCCAATTCACGAGGCAATTTCTCAATTGAGTCTGCGATGTGTTAAAATTCTTTTAGAATATAATAAGCATGATTTACAAATGAGCACAGAAACAAAACAAACAGATAACACTGACCTATCAGTTACTGGCATTTCTGTCAATAACAAATCTACTTCAATATTCAATAGAAAATTTTCTCTGATATCAAATAATTTTAGCATAAATAGACATGTGTCACCTAGTACTCCATCAAGATTTAGTATGGAACAAAGATGTTCTAATCATGGAAGCGACCAACCTATAAAACCTTTACAATTAATTCATTTACCTGATTGCCAAGGTTTTGCACCGATTCATATGGCAGCTAATTCAGGATCTATTGAACTTATGAAGGTATGTGTTAACTCTTTTACAATACAGCTTTCATTGCATTATTTTAATTCAAATACTTAGTTTGTTATATGCTTCACTGACTACAAAACTGTCATTTTTCAATGTTATAATGGCTGTTTTATAAACTTTCTACGTTAAATATTTACACAACACGAGCCTTACTGTATCAAGACGGTGTTTATCAGGAACAAATAGAATTAGTGTGTCGCACTGTGTTTTCTGAGCTCTATTCTGATAGTCAGAGTTGAAAGATTTTGTTATAGCTGACAAAATGGCACATTAAAGCGTTAGAAAACTAATAATAATTACTGGGTAATAATAGCTAGTAACAAGTGAGTTTCGTCGCTGAGCAGATCTGCTGACAAGAAACGTCGACAGGCTTTGGTAATTATGTATAATTATGCAGTAAGATGACATTGAAACATTGACAGACTAGAATTAGGGTATGTTACACAGGCAGAAATGAATTTATTTTTAGGGGCTATGGTACAATATACTATTGTGTCTACTTTCTATGGATAAAAGTAGTTACTACATTTATGACCCCACTATATTTTTTCTACATTATTATGTGAACTAACAGCCAACTAACTATATAGTGAATGATTGTTTCTATGTTAAAAGTCAGTATCTTATGGTGTAACATTATTACCTGGACCATGTGTTATTGCTTGTAATTTACCTCTATTGAAAGATGAACACTTGGAATAAGCATCAAGATATTAAGTTTTTTTCATTCTCACCTTACTTGATGGATAGTTCACAACCCTACTGGATAAAACTTCAGCACTTGATAAAGTGGATGGTTGATATAAAACCTGACTGTATTACTGTAGGCTAATGATATGTTAGTAGTTCTAGCTGACGACTTCCTCAAAGAACAAACATTGCATTTCAAAGTACACAGACACTATTACCTGTCACCAGATAAATTTCGTTAGATATGATAGTTGAGACAGGAGATATTAAACCCCAAACACAATACTTTCTTTGTCGATCTTCATAAGCAGTAAATATCATGGGAATAAAAATTTTTAAAGATGATAAACAACAGATACAGTAGGATAAAAAGGGACAATTTAACTTTTTTTCTTAGTTTCTCATCAGCTATTTGCAACTTTGATAATCAAATTGAGTAGTTATATCGAAAATTTAATACATTTTCGTTTGTTAGTGACTTAAAATGTCCAACAGTTGTTGAGAATATAATTGAAAGTTGCTAAATTATTACAAATCATCATAGTTGTTTGTCAGGAGTAAAAATAAAACTTTATTATTTATTCCCTACGTTCTGAGTGGAACACAGGGCTTCAGTAGAACATTTCAGCTGCACTTGATTCTATGTTGCTGTGACTACTGACATGCTCCCACTTCCTTCTTATATGGTCTCCCCCACGTCAATCTCTAACACCGAACACATTTATTCCTACTCGAGTTCGACTCGACATATGACGTCATTTGAAGTTCTTCCCAAAGTATGTGCAGTCCGTCTCCACTACCTTCTGCACATTTGTTGAACAACTGGTTGTTAGCTGATCTACTGTACTCCTCGAGCTCCACTTTTCTCATCCTATCCACAAGACCATCTGACCTGCAACAGTTCCATCCTCTTGTTGTTGACGAATGTATGCAAAAGGCTGTTAAAAATGCTTATCATAACGTGTGTGCCAAGTCTCTGAACCATACACTAGCACTCTCTTGATATTAATGTTGAGTAGAATCCGGGTCTTTTTCTTAGCATCACATGTCGTAGACCTCCGCAGTGATTTTTGAGAGTAATGAACGACTGTCTTAATTTTCCAATCAGAATTTTAAAAAACAACAGAAAAAACTTCTGAGGAGCATACATTTTATGATGATATAAACCATCAGATAATTATACTGAACAAGATATGTGAAATACGGAACTTTAGGTTGATTTAGCGAAATTCAAACTATGTAAACAGGGTATTATAAGTGATGATTTATATGTTGGCCGCCTGCTTAATTTTGGACTACTATAAACTTCCATCAGTGTATTGCATATAATTTCTCTCAGTTATATTGTTTAAATCGAGTAAAATACGACCCCTAATAGTATTTATTGTCTACTCTGGCGAGTACTTGAAAAATTTGCAGCCTGCTAGCACGAAAGTTTGTAATAAATATGTGAGAAAGCATAATACTCGATGACAGCTTATTCCAATACACGCAAAAACCGTTCCTGATTCATGTTCGTGAGTTCATAAAATGCACCTCTGAACTTTCTATAACTGGCATTCAACAAAACGTGGTATATTTCTCGAAAGAGAAAAAGAAGACACATCATAGTGGATTGGTTTGCCCTTCAGATCACATAGATTACATTTCAACGAAATTCACCAACAAAATTGATGTCGAAACCCAGTTCGAAGGTTTATACCATCAACTGTCCGAATTAAAACCAGTGGATGACGAAAGGCAAGGTTGGTTTAAATCTCGGCTTGTCGACATTGCTAATCAATATATCATATCACCGAATCCCAAATCTGCAGTTTTGTCGAAAGTTCACCAAATAGCATTAAGAAACTTAATGAAAAATGAGTCTGTTGTTATTCTCCGACCTGACAAAGGATCAGATGTTGTGATAATGGATAAAGATAACTATGTGAAAAAAGTGGAATCACTTCTGAATGAATCATCAACATTTCGAACTGATCCATTGAAGAAAGATCAAATTGAATTGATGGAAAGATGGATTACAAAGAAGTTAAGAGAACTTTTAAAGAAGGAGTTGATTGACAACGACATATACAACTAAGTGAAGCCTAAAGGATCCAGACTGCCTTACCCGGACAGCTTACCAAAGATGCATAAGCCTGACATCCCTTTGAAACCAATATTATCTATGATTAATTCGCCGTATCACAAAGTAGCTAGGTGGCCAGCAGAAATATTAGAACCAATCCGTGGTAAACTAGCAGTCTACAGCCTGGATGACACATTCCTGTTCTCTAAACAATTAGAGAATCTAAACATCTCAAATAAATTTATGGAGTCCTTCGACTTGTCTTCACTGTTTACAAAGATCCAAATGGAGGAAACAATACAAATTATATGTCAACATGCCGAACTTCTTACTCTGCCCAGAACGAACTCAAACAACTTTTACTTATGTGCCCCAAAGGCGTACAGTTCCAGTTCAACAACACTATACCGCCAAATTGACGGAGTCGCCATGGGAAGCCCCTTGGGTCCAATTCTGGCAGATATTTTTATGGGTAGTTTAGAACAAACAAGATTAAAATCCGAAATCAGTCAGACAAACTTCTATACCAGGTATGCCGATGACACTTTCATTATTTGTAATTCTCTCAATGATGCATCTCAAGTATTAAAAGTCTTGAACAACGCCCACCTTAATATTATGTTTACAATGGAGTATGAAAAAGAGGAGAAGTTCCATTTTCTTGACTTGAGTATCCAGCAAGATAAAGACGGCAAAATCATGAGATATATACAGAGAAAAGAGACCTGGGGGCTGTTTATCTTAACTTCAAAAGCTTCTGCCCTATAAGTTACAAAAAGGATTGGCGAGAACTTAATTTATCGTGTGAGGAAACTGTGTTCAAAAAAAGATTGAGGAAGAGGTATCCATTGCGGAGAAATGCCCACGCGACAACGGTTACCCACGAAAGTTTCTCGACAAGCATGACAGACGTCATGTTAAAAAAGTGAATTGCAGCACAGTAGATAAAAAGCCTATCTTTCTGCAGCTTGCATTCAAAGGTGATGATACTGTTAGTAGAATAAGATACAGACTTAACGCTGCCCTGAAAAGAACATATCCAGCCGCCAAGCTTGCATGCGTTTATCAAACAACTAGTTGTTTGAGACAGTCAAAAGTGGACAAATACCCACCTCATGTTATTTCCAACTGTGTCTACCAATTTACATGTACGTAACAAAGCACATATATTGGAAGAACAGAGAGAAGGATTAGTGTCCGCATTTCTGAACACATACCAAAGAATCTGAGGCTAAAAAGTCCGCAAGCATTAAACAGTGCGATTGCTGGTCATCTCTTAGACACTGGTCATATTTTAGACAACCTTAAGTCGTTCAAAATAATCAACAAGCAAAAGAAACCTAGCTTGCTACGCTTTGCTGAAGCAATTGCCATCAAACGACTTAAACTAAATCTATGTACGCAGAAAGAGACAGTGATGAATCTTGTACTGCCCTGGTGATAACGAAAACAAATACAACATTCATGAGTCACCTTTCTCATGTTTAGAAAACTCTACTCTCTCATCTAAACATGACTCACCCTAACTTGTTTCTTTTCTTTCTTTCTTCTGTTGGCTATTAGATAAGACGTTTTCTCTAGTTACCTAATCTACTTTCTTGGTATGCTCTTCCTAGCTAAACCTTGTTTCTATACACACACAGATATACGCAACCCTGTTTTTTGTTTCCAAGCCTAATTGTCTAATTATTCTATAAATAGTCAGTGTTTGTAACTCCTAATCAGTTAAATCATTCCGGACTAATGTTACTTTTAATTCCTACCAACTACTCCTTATGATCGTGGAAAAGTATGTTCAAATTTTTAATGTAATTCACATTTTTTATCCTTCAGGTTGTAACCAGTTGGGAAGAATCTCGAAGTAATAAAAGATGAGCTCATATTATCCTGGTGCAATTGTTGTTCTTGTTTTGTTCACATAGAAATGTTGAAAACAAAACACGCAGTTCAGCGAATAGTCTCTTTTCGCCGGAGAATTCATTTTCTTAGCTGTAAAATCCCAAATCTATATGGGTTATTTTTATGTATGTGTACATTAAGTTTGTCAAACTAAACCACAATTGGTTATGGTTATTTTAACTAAACAGGTGAAGATTGATTGTTGAGTTACGTAATACAAAATCAATCAAGAAAATTGAGTGTTAATGAAACTAGTATAGTAACAAGAGTGATGAGTTGTCACAAAGAGTTGTTAAAAAGGAGTTACGTGATAATATGAATAGTTTGATGATTCAGTTGTACTCAGGATACACATAGGAACAAAGTAGAGAATACGAAATTACGTAAGAGTTCCAAATGAATGCAAAAATTACGACTAATTAGAGAGACAAGCAAACAAACAAATCATGTTATCAAAAATCAACAAATTTGTTACCATGATAGTAAAATTGGTTGAGTAATTCTCTCTTTCTGTATGCACGGCTCTGGTTTTCCTATATGAATGATCAAAGCTTCAGCAACACAAAGAAGAGAAAACCGTATTGCCTTTTGTAGGTTATTCTTGACTCTGTGGATCACTTTGAAGGAGGCATGTGTTGACATGGAATAATCAGTATTAACTAGATGTTCAATTATCGCACTCCTTTTTAGCAACTGTTTGTGACAACTCATCACCTTTGTTACTACACTAGTTTCATTAACACTCAATTTTCTTGACCGTTTTGTAATACATAACTCCACCCAAAACTTACTAATTTCCACCTGTTAAGTTAAAATAACCATAACCAATTGTGGTTTACTTTGACAAACTTAATGTACACATACATAAAAATAACCCATATAGATTTGAGATTTTACAGCTAAGAAAATGAATTCTCCGAAAAGTGACTCTTGACTGAACTGCATGTTTGGTGTTTAGTAATGCCTGGATACGGATCATCCATGAATTAAAACGTAGATTGAATTTTGTCACACAATCTGGTCTCAGTTGATCCTTTATTTGATTATCCTGGAAGAAGAGGAAATATCATGCAATAAACTCTGCTGAAAATTTTGTATATTTATTAAACGAACATTTTCAGAGTAAAGCTGTTGCTCTTCTTTTTGTTGATAAAGCTATAGACGAAGTGATCAGTTAACTGAAAATCTTCTCATTGATCAGTTGACAAATATAAAACACAAAATATCGAGCAAAGAATATTCTTTTATATATATATATATATATATATACAGAGAATATTCTAGAATAGTAGTCAATAACGATATTAGAGGTTTTAAATAATATCGATTTGTAAAGTATGATCAAGGCAATTACAGTTCATTAAAGATGCTTAAATTATAATAATAATAAAGATATAGTAGCGAATAGAATATCAACTAAAATTAGGAAACTTCCACAAAAATTCATGATCATTCAAAACTGGATGGCCAAGGTTATGATAATGTCTGAACTAACTTCTTTTGGATGCATAAATCAGGCTTGTTAATATGGATCTCCACAGCCTCAGCAATATCTAGTAGTCGGACTCTTAAGGCAAAATTGAGATTCGTAGGTATGCGTTAAATGACCCTGAAGTCATGGTTGCCGTCAATCTTGTGTTCTGTCTCCACAAGATGAGACAGAATAGCGCTACGAATGGATTTTGTTTGACCTTTGCTTAACCACTGTGCAGGGTGATGTTAGGAAATTCGACGAGAAACACGCCGAATAGTACGACCCATGCAGCTAACTGGCTCCAGATGAACAGTTAAATTGGTAGATACACATGGGAGAGGCGAAATTAGACAGTTTGTCTCTTACTCCAGAACGAAAAAGAGGAGTGGTTTTAAAGATACAGCGTAATTCAGCAGCAGGGAATGCACTTTTTACTGCATTTCTGAGGCGCTGTGTTAGTATCTCGCTGGTGTTGTCCCCAAGGAACTGCATTTGTAAGAATAAGGCTTTTTATGGAACTGTTGATATATGTATATAAACATATATATAATTGTAGAGCCGGAAGAGGAATTTATAGAAAAGAATATTCTTAGCTCGATTATTTTGTGTTTTATTGATGTCTGAATGAATATTTTTGCTATCTTGAAATCAGCTAACAAATGTTAGTTGTTTATGCAAACAACTTAAAAGTGTTAAATCTTTTTAGATACCCTTCTTGAAAAAGTATTCTTTTCTTTCTTTTTCTTTGTACTCATGAAACAGATTTGTCTTCAAGAAAAAGCAAATATTTTAACAAAAGTATACAATGGTCAAACAGTTCTGCACTATTGTGCATTACGTGGAGATTTAGAATGTATAAAATTTATTATTGAAAGCATTCAACCAGAAGAGATAAAAATATTAATTGAATGTGCTAATGAAAATGGTGAAACCTGTTTACACTTAGCTGCAATGCAGAATTATGTTAATATGGTGGAATATTTAATAAGTTTGGTAAATTTTTTTGACTGATTGTCAGTTTTATTTCATCGAGGTTCTGTTTAGAAAGTGGTTTTCACTGGTTTGTAATATTTATCTAAGTTAGAAGTAAGTGAATATTTTCCAGTTCCTGAGATTTAGTTATTTTATCCAAATAATAAGACACTTGTGTTCAGTGGCTTTCCTAATGATTGATTACCTCTGAAGCATTGCAGTACTTGATCAATTCTTCAACAGGAAGCTTTGATGTGAACAGATTCAGACTTCAGTTTAGTGGCCATCGTCAGTACTGCTTCATTTAATCATTAATAAATAAAATCTTAGTTGAAAGATGACATTCGTTATTGGTTGGAGGATTTCATCATGGGCTGACATAGATTGAAGAACCGTTCGTTAGAAAACCTGGGAGTAGTTAACAGCTGTTTCCTCCTTGTTTGGAAATCTTCATCAGTATGCACCAACTTCCCTGACAGGGTTCGAACTCAGGGCCTTCTGGTTACAAGGCCAGAGAATTCGTAGACCATTATGCCACTCACTGGGACCCAACCGAACCAGTGGCCAGCCCATTAATTTCAACTTCTACCAATTTATGATTTAGCACAACCACTTAGCACTGTCTTCTTCGATGAGTAACCTTCAACCTGATGCACCCTACTGGTCATGACTTCCAACTAGAAACCCAAGTAACTACCTGAATAGAGCCAGTTGCTAGTGAGCATCGAAGGTTCCGGGTTCGAACCCTAGCGGTGGGTGAGTACTGATGAAGAGTCTCAAACTAGGATGAAACAGCTGTCCAATACTCCCAGGTTTTCCACTGGTTCTCTAACTGATATCGGCTCATGATGAAATCCTCCATCCAATCAAAATATCCCTACAAACCAATACTTGGCATTAGTTACTGCTTAAAATCAAAGGTTAGATATTGATTGATTGTGTATAAGATGCCTTTTTAGTCAGGTCATTAATCTAAGTAAACTTGACACTACAGGATTTTCATCATGAGCTGACATCAGTTAAAGAACCATTGAAAAACCACCTGGGAGTACTGCCAGACAGCTGTTTCGTTTTAGTTTTGGACTCTACAGGAGTACGCACTCACAACACGGGATTCGAACCCAGGACCTTCTGGTTACATGGTGAGCTCGTATACCATTAAGCCACCGGAGCCCGACGCAATGGCCCACGAATTCTAACTTCTGCCAGTTCACGACATAGCGCGACCCCAGCCAATGTCTTTGGCGAGTATTTGTCCTCACACCCGACCTGGTGCACCCTAATGGTCACGACTTCTCAGTAGAACCCTAGGTAATTACCTACCTGAATAGGTATGGGTGTGGGAATACTTCCGCGTGAATAATATACGGTTGGAGAAGTCTTGATTGTTTTCCACCTTTGTTTGAAATACTAACATTTTGATAAAGATAGGAAAAGACTTTGGATAAAAACTTTTGTTTCTTTATCACAAAACACCCAAAAGCAAACTTTTCTATTCCAAATTAATTATCTCCGTCAGAAATTTTGTTTGGCAGAAAAAACTGGAACTCTCCTTAATGTAATAAGCCTAATTAGACAAAGCAGGGCTTCTGGAATGCGATAATGGAAAGTCGGCAAACTTCATCACCATGGTGCCAAAAGTAGACTTTTCAAACTGCACCAGTAAGTTTATGTACATAATTTTGCGTATCTGCCTCCAAGATGGATACTTGGATGAACATCTGAGGAAAAGGTAGTGCCCTGTACAAAGTAAACGTAGAATAACAGAAATGGACCAGACAAATGAAAATTCTACTCAAACCATCAAAATACAAGAAGCTGCAATTCACTTTGAATGTTTAATGAATAATTTCAATATTCTGTGGTCAGAAATAAAAGATTCAGTGAACAATCCTTCTATACTGACTCAAACATCATTTCATCAGACAAGGAGAGCAGGACCCTTTAACATAGATTCAAGGAAGAGGTCATACAGTTTAATAAGGGGGGGGGATGATTTGATACAGAGAAAGCCAGTCCAAACGAGCCAAAAACAGCTAAAATAGGTTTATCCAAGCCCTAAACCATTTTGGACAAATTAAAGCACTTCGTCAAGAAAGAATTTTTATTATAATTCCATAAGATAACCAAGAAGACCTACATGATGCAGCAAATACGGTTGGTTATTTGTTGCCTCAACTTTTCGAGGTTCATAATATTTGTATATAATGTATATTATGAACTAAACTGTTCTTACCGCAGTTGACCAGTCTGTCTTCTATCTTTATTTTCATGAGCTAAGTAGGGTGAAGTGATTAGTAATCCGCATCTAGTCTTCGTCGACTTGCCTATTACTTTACAGTATCCAACCCACAAATCAGCAGAATTATTACAACACCACTGGCATAACACACTTCTTCTCGATTTCTCTATTACATTAGCGAACAAAAACTGGGAAATTAAAAACACTGGTTTGTAATTCATTGAATTTTAGATTTTCCCGTCGATTGATTGGATCAAAGTGCTCGGTCAACCTGAGACCGTGATCAACCACAGTTAGCTGGAGAAAAACCACTGAGGAGAAAAATGCATTAGAGAATTGAATAGGTTTATTTTGACACTAACCAGCGATTAGAAACCCACTGTGAGCACTCTGTTCATCTACAGTGTTTCTTTTATATGACTCAAGTTCGTGACAAAATCATTCATGGGCTCACTTGAATACTTATACAATTATTCATTTAATGAAGACTTGTTTAAATTGACTTTTATCTACTGATCACCGATCTCTTTATGATGATTAGTTAGTATCCCAAAGGCGGTATTTTCCTAAGGACTTCTTGGTCTGACGTATATTGCTTTAGCAGTCGTAACGAACATACAGTCCAGAAATGAGACATACAGACTCAAAGTGCTATACTTCATACGAATTAAATGAAGTAAGTGTACATTAGACTATGACAAAAAACAAGGCCAGTTTCAACAGTTGCAAAAGGTTCTAAATGGGGATTTGAAAAGACCAGAAATGTGATGCTGTATGCAGTCACAGTTCCAACAAGGGTAAAACTATTGTAATTCGTTTCCAGTTGTTTTGCGGGATCTGTAAATAGTTCACTGTGTGTGGTGTGTCATCTGCATAAATCTTGGATAGTGGAGTGGCGGAGTAAGTTGTGAAGAGAAGAAATGAAGGTCCTTTTGAGATAATATAAAAAGCTACCAAATACTCTTGTGTTCTACAATTACCATTTCAGCTAAATCTCTATAGTCTCCTTTTATGGAGTGAGTCTTACATGTGTGGTGAGAGTTTTCTGCTAGCCAAAATTGGTAGACAGCAATTTACGTCAACGTCTACGTTCCAAATAATGGTCATAAGGAAAACAAGAACAAAGAATTTGCGTGGGCGGATACGATTCACAGATATATGGTCTGATCATAAAAAAACAACCACACAAAGAGATGACAGATTAACTTTGAGCGAGAAAACAACCAATCAGAAGACGCTGTTTCTCTGTTAATAATTACGAATAATAATGTACATAAAGTACTTAAATATCTCTTAATTTTTCAATAAACCATCTGTTGCCTGGCCCTTGTCTTCTGTCGTCACACATGGATGAAATCTTTGGATTTCATTCGGGTGTTAACTAGTTTTCCCACTAGCGAGTTCTACTTTAGCAAAACTTATTTAATGCTTGTATTATTTCAATAAACTCGTGAAAATGAACACTCCTCCACTCAGTAGTCTTACTCTATTTACGATATAACTAAAAATTAAAAACATAAACAGTCATCTTTCGACTTAATTCAATGTTATTTTCAATTTGTTTTCTATTTCTGTATTGTTTTATTTAGGGAGCAGTAATCAACAAACCTGATATAAACGGTAATACACCGATTATGTCAGCTGCAATAAAAGGCTCAGTACCAGTGTGTAATTATCTATTGAAAAAAGAAGTAAATTAATGCATCATAATTCAAAGCATCGTAATTTATTGCATTTACTTATATTAAGTCATTGTGAGGAAATTTGTGATTCAATCGAATCTTTAAAAACTGTAAGCTATCAGATAAATATTATAATATTGCAATTAATTTTATTATTACTATTATTGGCTAGAGAATTTCATCATCCGCCGACATTAATTAGAGAACCATTGGAAAACCACCTGAAGTACTGGACGGAGGTTTCGTTAGCCTAGTTTGGGGCTCTTGAGCAGTACCACACACAGCCACCCTTCGAGCCCAGGACATTATGGTTACAAAGCTAGTGAACTAGTAGACCATTAAGCCACTCACTGGAACGCGCCCGATCCAATGCTCGCTCCACGAATTTCACCCTCTGCTAATTCACGACATAGAGCAACCATGTAGCAATGTCTTCGATGAGTAATTGTCCTCACCTTCGACCTGCTGTACCTTACTGGTCATGACTTCCCAGTGGAACCCAGGACACTGCGTGAATAGAGCCAGTCACTAGTGTGCATCAGATTAGTTCTCAGATATTGATTTTGTAGGGATTTCGTTTGATTGATTGGAGGATTTCTCTAAGTGATTTCAGTTGATGATGAAATTCTCCAACCAATCAAACAAAATCCCTACAAATCAATACTGGAAAATTATTAGTATTATTCAGAATGACTGAAAGGCGTTAAAGTTGCTGTAGTTTGACAGTTAATTCTTATTTATTCTGTAAAATATGTTGAGTAATATAACTACCACTGACAGATTCCAGCTATTTTTTATAGTGTTCACATAGCGGTTAGGACGCTTGACGACCATGCACATGGTCCGGGGTTCGATCCCAGCCGACTCACTCTTTACCTCGCTAAGCCAGAAATAATTCTGGGAAAAAGGAAAGGTTTGGCATGAGGCTAGCAACCCCATCCTCTAAAATAAACACTGCTACAGAAACATCAAGCCTCTAGCTTGAAGCCCTATGTTCCACTGGGGAACGTGAAGGAAAACAATTCACAAATCCACTACTTATTTAACGACTACGATTGCTAGACAGCGGTCCGCTTGAGATTTAGGTGACCAAAAACACCTCTGTCATCATATTGTATGGAATTTCTCTTGTTCAGCTTATTTCACTCTTTTAAAATATGACAGCTAATGGAATAATTTACTCTCGCGTGTATTTAAATTGTATACAGCCTGCTTATTCTTGGGTTTCCACTAGACTTGAGAAAAGCATAATCGTGGTCGTAGTATAACCTATTGCATTAGGTGACTGTTTTTGAGTTCTGTTCTTCAGTCTCAAAATGTACTCCGAACTTTTTACAATTGTCTTTCAATCAAATATCGTGCATTTATCGACAAGAGAGACAAGGAAGGAATACAATGAAGGGTTGCTTTTCGATTTTGTTTTGATAGCATTGCGTCACCGATCTACTGTCGATTAATATTTGATTTGAAGATCCTGGATAAAGAGAAAATATTATGCAATCAACTCCGCTGAAAATTTTGTACATTATATAAACAATTACAAAATAGACCTAATATTATTATCATTATGCTCTCGTTCCAATAATTTCTCGAGTTATGTGAATCTCGATTCTGGTTCATCTGTGTGGCTACTAAAGTACTGCAGCTGGCGATCATCTCTACACAGTATGCCACCCAAATGAAGGAAGTAACTAGGTGATAATCTTGACTCAAGTAAACTGATATTAAAATGTGAGCTAATAAATATCAGGTTCAACTTTTCCTAGGATAACTGAGGTTTGAGAAAAAGCTTAATAACGCTTTCTGAGATACGGCTGCAGAAATCGTCAACTTTACTGAACACCTAGATCACGTATCATGATCCCTGTTTAGGTACCTTTACTGGCTAGAACCACTGAGATCTCTGTGACATAAAACTTTTCAAGTGAAAACTTTTCAAGTAGGGTGCAGCAGGTCGGGTGTGAGGACAAATACTCGCCGAAGACATTGGCAAGGGGTCGTGCTATGTCGTGAATTGGCAGAAGTTAGAATTCATGGGCCATTGCGCTGGGTTCCGGTGGCTTAATGGTATACGAGCTCACCATGTAACCAGAAGGTCCTGGGTTCGAATCCCGTGTTGTGGGTGCGTACTGCTTAGGAGTCCGAAACTAAGTCGGAGGAAACAGCTGTTCAGTACTCCCAGGTTTTCCGCTGGTTCTCTAACTGATATCAGCTCATGATGAAATCCTATAAACCAATCAAATCCCTACAAACCAACACTTGAATTATTTCTGTAGGTTAGTCATTATGATTCATGATGATAAAGTGTATTGCCTGCTGATATCAGGTTACTTTAGAAGTTAGTACCTTTCACCTTCACTTCTGATAAAAAATAAACAGAATATTCTCTGTTATCGTTGACCTCAGAAAAAGCTTGTTATTAGGTTCAAAAAAGGTTTCTTTCAAGGATAAATAGGATGAATTATTGTTATAGGTTTTATCAATTTCTTCACCTGACTTGAATTTATAGAACAAATTTGGGACACCTGATATAGTGAAAATTTACTGGATAACCTCTGGTCAAGCTTGTAGTTTGTATTTTCTTCTTCCGTGAAATCGCTTTATATGGAAGTGTAGTAGGTTTTCAACTATGCGAGAATAATTGCAAACCATCTAAAATAATGAAGAACTAAAGTGGGTGGCCAACAGGCAGTTCGAGAACTGGTTTCTGTGCGTATTGTCAATTGTCAGCTTGAAAAACTCAGTAACAACATCCTATACTAAAAAGTTAAAGATATCGATTCTCATCTCCGAGGGGGTACCAGTCTCTTCGATATCACACATACGCCTTACTGAATACAGCCAATAAGAATCGAACCTGGGACCAAGGTTCCTTTCCGACTGCATTCAACTACTTTACATTTATACAATTTGCACTACGACGAAGAGTAATCAAGATTAGTGACCATATTGTAAACCTTCCTGAAGAAATTCAGCCAGTACTAACACTAAGAACAAGACACACGAATTTGGTTAATCCCAATTGACCATTCAGTGTAATTAAGAGCCATCTCTATCTTCTTTCACTATGATAGCCAATTGAATGTATGTGGATACATGAATACGGTGAGATGTGATATAGAAAGAGTACTTATTTATTGTTTACCAGATTTTTATTATTGCTCTCTGCTAGGATCATGGAGATCCGAGCTTTACAGTCTCAGTGGCAACTGTATTGTTCTTACAAAGTCGGGCCGTTAACGTCACGCCGAACCTACCTTTTTCCATATTTGCCATCGGCTAGTAGACTAGATGAGGTTTCGGAGTGCGTCAGCCAGAAAGTGAATCCGGACAATTTGCGTGGTTCGACAATGTTCTTTCACCGAACTAGCGATACACTAAACTATTTACTAGATACGAATTTGAAATCTTGGGATAGATAAGAGTAATTACCGCAACTATACATTAACTGTGAAAGTATTTTTACTATTCGAACTATGATTTAAGTAAATCTCTGCTTAATTTTATCTTTTTCTTCTTTTACAATCAAAATTATTTATTTAGCTAAAAGAGTTACCTGAATTACTAAATGATGTTGATAATTTCGGATTTACACCATTACATTATGCAGTTGAATTGAATCTTATCAAAACTAGTCAATTCTGTTTACAGTTTGGTGCAAATGTGACAATTACTAGTAAGGATAAAAGCAGTCCACTTCATATTGCAGCTAAATATGGACGTTGCATATATCACAGGCAATACTGAATACAACTGAAGGCATGAGGACATTGTCAATGGCTGATAGTAAAGGTCGTCTACCATTACATATAGCAGCTTTATTTGGACATAATAAGCTGTTAGAGTTATTCATACAAAATGGTTGTTTGTTTAGAAGGTGAGTTTTAAAGATGTACCATCTCCTCAAGGATAATGACACTAAGTCAATATATGTATCGATGGCTGGGAGGTAAAGTGCTCACTAGCCGCTCAGGAGGTCCGGGTTTAATTCCTGGCCGACGCCAACTGAAACCTCACGTAGTTTCTTAGGCGGCAATGAACCCAAAGAGAGAGTGGGTCGGGTGATAGCCTAGCAACCCCACTTCTACTGAAACTTCATAGCTTGATGGTCTGTGTTCCAATAGGAAAGCAAGAAATTAAAAAAATCGATAAACATTAGACTCTGAATTGTCCTGCATCAATGAAGTGACACAGTAAATTTGTAATCCCGAATGAAACCGGCAACTGCTCTATATTCTTTCAGAGTTGAATTTTATTTGTTAATACTGTGTTAATAAAACATTATGATTAAGCCACTTAGTCTGTCAGTGAAACCTCCAAGATTAATCGTTGAAACTCAAAGGATATCAGGTAATAGTTATAGATACTTATCAACAATTAGTTAATTGTGGTGAGTTGTAATCACACTTCATACGTGGTTGAACAACTGTAATTTAAGTCGTGAAAATACACGTATCATATATATTGTAAAAATTAAAAAGAAGTATCATGATGGTACATATTACTCAGATTAGTTAGTAGCTCGAGGCATCACGTGACGGATCGATGGCCTAGTGGTAGAACACTAGTCAACCATGCAGTTGGTCCGGCGGCTCGATCCTCTGCCAGTGCATACCTTTACCTTGCAATGCCAGTAATGAACCAGGTAAAGAGGAAAGGTTGGGTGTGAGGCTAGCAGAACCACCCGACAGAAAAACCACCACTGCTACAGAAACTTTAAGGCTCTAGTTTGAAGTCATACGTCCCACTGGGAACGAAAAAGGATAAAAGCATTTTGCTACTTCGATTGCTTTCTTTACTGCCATCAACTGCTGTTTTAAGCAGATCACATATTGTGGAGTGAATATTTTTGGATTCCAGATATTTCGATTTCTCACCTCGAAACGTACAATTTACAAATGCCGGTTATCAGAGTGTAGCTTAGAAACCATTTCTGCTTCATTTAATATTATTCATCGCAAATTATTTGGCACACTGTATATGTATATATATATATATATATATATATGATAAAGAAATGTAAATCACCCATTATCAATACTCACTAGACAGAGTTAGTTAATGCAACTACCGAGAAACTAACTTTACCTTTCGGCTAAACTTATTCAATCTAAACTTGGAATTATACAGCCTAGACTGGTAAAATCTTTTAACAGCCAACTAATATAATAAGACGATTGTAAATATAAAATTAGGGCAAATTTCCTCAATGACTTCGGTTTATGATAAGAATATTATATATGAGAATGAAACAAATCACAGAATTCCAATGATCAAGTCCGTGATCCGCCTAAATGACCTATGTACACCAACATATTGTAAAATGGCATCACTTAGTATTCATGACCTATAATCCACACAAATAACAGACATCATAATCAATATTAGGTGTCTGATGACAATCACCAGGATACCTTGGTGACAGGTTTATTTTTTACCAGCACTCACCAGCAGGGTGTGCCTACAACCTAAAAGAGAAAAATGTCCCTAAGGGGGCTGGAAACTGAATGATCTCAGTGACTAAACAATAAGCCACAATCCAATTTTCCGAAATGTGAAATTTCTGTAAGAAGTAAACTTGAAAAATTCATGCAATTCTTCCCATTAATAAACTTGAACAAAACAAGAACAACAATTGCACCAGGATAATATGAGCTCATCTTTTATTACTTCGAGAATTCTTCTCAACTGGTTACAACCTGAACGTTAAAAAATATGCATTACATCATAAAGAGTAATTGGTAGGAATTAAAAGTAACATTAGTCCGGAGTGATTTAACTGATTAGGAGTTACAAACACTGACTATTTACAGAATAATTAGACAATTAGGCTTGGAAACAAAAAACAGGGTTGCGTATATATGTGTGTGTATAGAAACAAGGTTTAGCTAGGAAGAGCATACCAAGAAAGTAGATTAGGTAACTAGAGAAAACGTCTTATCTAATAGCCAACAGAAGAAAGAAAGAAAGAAAAGAAACAAGTTAGGGTGAGTCATGTTTAGATGAGAGAGTAGAGTTTTCTAAACATGAGAAAGGTGACTCATGAATGTTGTATTTGTTTTCGTTATCACCAGGGCAGTACAAGATTCATCACTGTCTCTTTCTGCGTACATAGATTTAGTTTAAGTGGTTTGATGGCAATTGCTTCAGCAAAGCGTAGCAAGCTAGGTTTCTTTTGCTTGTTGATTATTTTGAACGACTTCGTTCAGCAATCATGTAAACTGTATGTCCACGTAGATGAAAGATTGTTACTTTTCAAATAATGCGAAACCAACCAATCAGATTAATAATCAAGAATCCACTACGAATAGGAATATTACAGGGTAATAAGTAAGTAGTGGTTCGCTTTATGGAAATCAAATCCTCTTTATTGTTCCGTTACTTTTATAAACAGAAGGTGGTTTTATAATTTAATTTTAAAATATATATATAATAGCATGTAGTACCACTACATTATGTTAGTGATTACGATATATGTATACGCCTCACCCAAACTAATTCTGTAAACTAAACTCTTATTCACAGATGTCATGAAGGAAACACTGCCCTACATTATGCTGCAATGCAAAAGAATGTAGAAACTTGTCGAATTCTATTAGAAATTAATCCTACATTATTAAATCAAACCAACTACAATGGGGTAGGTTCATTGCCTATAAATTCTACACATCTGCTAACATATATATTGATTAATACTTTGATTAATGCATTTGTAATACTTTTTTTTCCTTCACGTTCCCAGTGGAACATAGGGGCTCCAAGCTATAGTCTTGGAGGTTCCGTAGCAGCGTTGATTTTTTACAGGATGGGGTTGCTAGCCTCATGCTCAACCTTTCCTCCTTCCCAGTCTCACTACTGGCTTAGCGAGGTAAAGGTGTGCGCCGGCCGGGGCTCGAACCCCCGACCATCTGCATGATCGGCGAGCGTCTTAACCGCTTTGCCACCGACGCACATTTGTAATATACTGAGTGTTTTAAGGACAAATATTCCCTTTTGTTGTTTGTATGAAATCGAGAACGCTGACAAGTCCTTGACTAATCGATAGCTGTAACAAATAGTGAAAATCCTTTCTCTCCTTAGGTAATTCATTTTTTTTAACCTTAATTGATTATATCATCTTTGAGATAAAAGTGTCGACTCCTTTTCACTCTTACTTAACTGCATCATCACTGAATAAGCGTCATGATTCATATGAGCTTATCTCACACTTTACTTTCATATCTTATTTATGTATAAAAAATTTTCTAACGACTTACATAATCTTGTCGCTAACTCCGTTCCCGACTTTTCGTTTTATTCGAGAAACTTCAGTCACACTATACATATAAGCATGACGATATTTCATATTTTATTAACACTTATTAACATTTCCATCCACCTGTCATTATTCTTAATTATTGTTCTACATTCTATCTTTATTGAACTAAAGTATTTTAAAACTCTAAGAGGACTATTAAATTTTCTTAATTTTAGATACCAACGAAGCAAACATTGCGTCCTCTTTATCCAGTACCTTGAGTTGTTATTGCTTTGTTCAAATTTGTTGAGGGAAATTAGTGTATAAAATAACTATGTTTTTATAAATTATAAATACGTACCAAAAAGGTGAAATATTTATACTTTTCATAAATTGACCCTCACATCTAAGTGTTAAGGCTGCATTGTTTCAACTACAGGCATTATGAATGTTGATGTAAAAGTCTACCACAGTTGGGAAGGCAAGGCAGGCGTTCATCCCTCTGAAATCAACGTGTGAAAATCTCTGGTATTTAGCACATGGAAGAACATCTAAATTTTTTAAAATTGATATCAAATAAATGTTTCTGTATGGTTAGAAAACTTCACTCTTAAGTCTTGAAAAGCATTCTCAATACACTGCAATGTATCATCAACAGCTACCTTCGCTCACTGATACTGAAGGTTGGATGGCCGGATGGAAAGGATAAGTAAGAAGGAACTCTGGTGGTGTAGAAAACCAACCGAGAATCGCTTTACTCGGGAAATATTCATAAGGAAATGGAGACGCATCCAGCATACTCTGGGGAGACATTGCAGTGATATCATATACTAATCTTTCAAGTAGAACCAGAATAGAAATCGGTTATTTTGGAGTAGGTCCGAAAATGATATGGAAGAAATCAGCTGAGGAGGAGGTGAGAGCTTGTGGGTTGTAGTCGAGCTAGTTAAGAATAATAATAGACAACAGGGCACAGTGGAAATGTTCTACTGAGACAATATATTGTATTTCGAACGTAAGGAATAAACAGTAATAACCTGGAGTTTATTGAAAGAAAATAACAGTTCGCATTTAATAATATAAAGAAAAAGTGTAATCTGAGTAAGTTGCGAAAAGCCGATATCAAATGAATTAATTTAATGCCTCAAACACATCCCATACCTTTTTTTCTCAAACTTTTCAGAAAATCTCTAATAGCATGTAGTTGCCACTGTAAGAGACATAATGATGTTCCTTGTTAAAATTAAAATCATTTCACTCACTATCTTCAGAAGTCTACTGCTCCCCCTTGTTTTATCTAATAGCATTAAACTTAGTAACTGTACTGGTTATTTTGAAGTCTAATTTATACAGTCTGTCTGTCTGTCTGGATTCAACATAGAACTTGGCACCGAAGTGCAGCAGTTCGAGTTGCCACGTTCCAAATAGCACACAGAGGTAGACAAGAAGATGAGTGAAGAGAATTAATAGAGTTTGACAAGTATAAGAGTGAAACAGAATGGGTAATGGTAGAAAGGAATATGAAAGATTACAGAGACTGAATACATCTGCGCCATTGACAACGATTTTGAGCCATGTCACCTATTGTCTCCAGCCATTGATTCCTAGAGTCCCGAGGGCCCCAACCCGGGAGTCTGCATCTCCCTACCTGACTCAGTTTAACTGTCAAGGATTTCATGGATTGATGCCATGTTTTTGTTTGGCCACCACTGGCTCTTTTCCAACCTGCACCTATATCAGCTAGCAATGCCCGTCGGGGGAGGCGGTGGTTAGGCATGCGCAGCACGTGACCTAGCCATCTTAGTCTATGTAACTTTATAGCCTCGTCGATTGATTTTCCCTCTTTGCCCAACACTCTACGCCTAACGTCAACATTACTTATCTTGTGAAACCACCTAACGTGAGACAGAGATCGCAGACATCTATGATCGAAAGCAGTCAACCTTTTCATGTCTTCAACGCGTATTGGCCATGTTTCAGAGCCATAGAGAAGGACGGAGCGAACTGATGAGCAGTACACACGTCCCTTGGTTGATAACCGGATGTCACGCCTACGCCAGAGATGGTGTAAGTCAGCGAAAGCAGCTCGAGCTTTTCGGATCCGTGCTGAGATTTCATCGCCAATCAGTCCGTTGGTGCTAATACAACTTCCCAAGTAGGTGAAGTGGTCAACATGTTCTATCACTTCACTCCCTATCACTAAGTTAGGGGTTGACGTGGTCCAGTCCTGTAGCAGCATCTTACATTTTGCAGGGGCGAATCGCATGCCAAACATACGAAGATTGCTGCTCAAGGTGTTCAGAAGACTCTGCATTTTGTCAGCATCCTCCCCTAACAGGACTATGTCATCTGCATATTCTAAGTCCATAAGATTATTCCCTGGTAACAAGTCGATTCCTAAGTCATTACGTTCAGTTAAGGATACTTCCATTAGCATATCTATGATGAAGTTAAACAGAAATGGGGAAAGTGGACATCCCTGTCGGACACCACTGGTTGTTACCAATTCAGATGACAATTCCCCATAAGCCCTTACACGACTACGTGAGTTTGAATAGAGTGCCTTGATTAGTGCAATGTACTTTCTTGGCACTCCCTTCACAGTCAGACATTGCCATAGTACCTTTCGATCCACGGAGTCGAAGGCCGCCTTCAAGTCAAGAAATATGACAATTGTTGGACGCCGAAAAGTGTGTCTATGTTCTAGAATCTGTCGAAGAGTGAAGATATGATCTATGCACCCTCTACCTGGTCTAAAGCCTGCTTGATTTTCCCTTGTCTGTTCCTCCCGAGTTCTGCTTAGTCTATGCATGATTACTGAGCCTAGGATTTTAGAGACTATGTTCGTTAGGCTGATCCCCCTATGATTATCACACGAGGACTTGTTTCCCTTCTTGAATATCGGTATAATAAGTGACTTACCCCAGTCTGATGGAACTGTCTCTGATTCCCAGACTTTGCCTAGTACCTCAGTTAATCTACAAACTAGTATGTCACCCCCATATTTAAACACCTCCGGAATAATTCCGTCGGGTCCTGCCGCTTTGCCTCGTTTCAAATTACTGATAGCTTTTGTAACCTCACCTACAGACGGCGGACCAGTGTCTATATCCCATTCGGGTACGTGGTGGATGGCGGGGAGGTTCAGTGTGGCTGTAGGCAAGTTAAATTGTTCCTCAAAGTGTTCTTTCCAGCGTTCAAGGCGTCTATCCTGAGAGCTAATTAAGGAGCCATTTTTCTCAGAAATAGTCTCACTTATGAATTGCCTTCTCCCGCCCGATTCTGTGATGAGTCTAAAGAGTTGCCTAGTGTTGCCTATCGCCAATGCTTTTTCCATCTCTTTCGCCTTTGTCACCCAGTACTCGTTTTATTCTCCCTCCTGCTTATAAACATTCCTTTCGCACAAACACATTACCATTTTACAGCTGTCCTTCTTCATTTCGTAGGTTCAGACCACCCAGGTTATTTTTATACTGATTATGTAACACCAGCTCCTCTTTGTTTCCCTCTTCATGTGTATTCTGTTCAAGATCATTCATCATATTACATAAAACATTTACTAAAGCATAATTAGCGGTATCTGATTGGTTAGATGAATATGAATACGAATATACTGTCACTTTTTCTTCTCCTGAAATGGTGGTAAAAATTTATGGCTCTAATGGATTATTTTGATGTAGCTATACTCTATGCGCTAGATGGCTTAATTTCTAAGCATTTATCATATTTCTAGATAAAAACTTCCAAGCAAACTTCGAAATAGAGTAAACTTATTAGGCAGCAACTAGCAGTAGAATCCATGTTATTCATCTGAAATCTGAGACGCGTCCGTACAAGAGGCCGAAATACCAATACAGACTGAACAATTCAGTTCAATGAACCAACTTGAAAATCAATTTCAACTCAGAACAAATAGGGAATTGAACTCATTTGAATTCTCCTTGATTGATACCACTGTTTCTGTTGACGACAGTGGTTATAAATGGTTTTCAAATTCATTAGTATGGATCACTTTATTGAACTGGAGTCATTTGGTTTTATGATTAGAACTTAAAATTTTCCGTTTACAGTATCATCGTAGATACCAAATAAAACCAACTTTTGAAAATTATAGTACTTAAAATGTTTCAAGTAGTGTATTAATATTTATAAAATTTCTCATCAATCAATTTTTATTTTTAGACAACTGCATTGCATTTAGCTGCTATTAGAAATAATAGTCATATAGTTGAATACTTATTGTCCATTGGAGCAGAAATTAAACCAGACCACAGTGGATTATATTTCTCAAATTATGCAATTAGAAAACATAATGAAGCAGTCGTTAAAGAGATAGTCTTACACAAAAGGTTAGCTTGAAATGTAAAATTTTCATTACAGTTCATACCTTGAATAATTTATTTTGTTTAGAAATCACTATAAAGCTTGCCTTAAATGGCTAATAGATTAGATTTCCACTGAATCTGTCATTATCACATATGTATGTGTATATATTTCTGATATTGGAAAGATTTAAACACTAGAGTTTTGAAAGTAAGCAAACATCAAAGGATTTTAACACATTGTGAACATTCAGATAGCACAGAGTATTCTAAGCCGAACACCACTGTAGACTTGACTTCCCTAATGGCTAAGATTTAGTTGGTCTCTAAATGGCCTTATTACTGACTGGCGTCAGTTCAAATCTCCTAAACACGATTACGTCTTTCAATAAATTATATTGTATCATTATAATGAGAAAAACTATGGAAACGAACAAACCAGGAATTCTACCTTATCGCTGTGCCAGGAATTTTGATTTTATATGAGATTTTCATCTTGACAACCTAAAATAGTCACAAAATTTGACTAAACAGTTAGTTTTTCACTCCCCATTCTCACACGTAGGATTGACTTTCACGTCTGGCATGTAGGTAGTTGTTCCCCGATGACGATACACGGCACAAGGTCGAATGTCTGCGTCATGGAAAAAATCAGTGGTGCGCTTAATGCTTGCATCTTGAAATTTTCAAACGAAACAATAGGATATCACCTAAGTTTGGACAAGCTAAATGATATTTACCTTCACTACGACTCTAATTTTTGAAACGCCCATTGACTCGCTCATATTAAAACGCTTTGATCTGTGTTTCAAGACAAATTACCACAACATCACAGATTAATGGCCCAAACTATTACATACACACAACTGCCAGCTGAAAGGATCAAGGCATTAAATGGCCAGCCGAAACTAGCAAGTAAATCACATTCAACCCCGCCTAAAGAACAGAACACAAATTCATAGCCATCGTCTTGGTATACTATTAAGATCCACTAGGCCATGCTGTCAAGACTCATAGCCCGTAGAATGGCCCAGCGAATCACCTACCAACCTATCCAAGCCTAAAGTTATTAGATCTGATCGATGTGACTACAGCAAATAGACGGCAGTGCTAGTCGTAGTGGGTACTCTGATAAAAGGCAATTACAAATATATTCACACATCCTCGAAGGTGTGTGACACATGACAAACACACCACCTATACCTAAAAATGGGAAGGGGCCTGTGGTAAGACAGAAACTGAAAGGCGAACAATATACACAAGCATAAATTATGCTCACCAGATGAATTTGCAACAAATGCAGTCCAACCACACTCGTTTACGTCTGAACAGTTTCATGCACTGTTCACTCTATCTCTCTCTTGAAAGTACTTTTAAACGTCACCTCATGCTAGTTCTTTACTATGAGACTCATGTAAGTTGGCTCAAACTGATGAGTTTACAGAATCAATTAATTCTCAGCTATTTGAAGGTGTATAAACACGAAAAGTTCAGGACAGATATTCAATAGTATTTGGTGATTAAAAATGATACCGACTTCTGATATCGAATATCCATAATATCTAAAATGTTCCCCTCCATCGTAAATGGAATACAACTAATAACTTCTTATCAGAACTCCTTTTTATCATTTTTAACAAGATAAACTGAAGTGAGCATATCTTAACGCTCTTTTGTTGCATTCTAAAAAAAACTGATTAACAAATGGGAGAAGATTCGATGGTTTGCAGAGACGCGTTTTAGTGGTGATTTCAATTTTCACAGTAACAATACTTGGTAGTAACTGGTTAAATGAAGATTTTTTAAAATCAATTTTTAATATAGGAATAAATTCATAATTGTCACGAAAGTTAACAAACTAATGACACAGGGGGGGTGTAGTAACAAAACTATTTATTTCATAAGATGATGTAGGTTAATGCCAAAACTAAAAATCATGCATTGAAACTTGATTATGCAAACGTTATTCGTACCCTGCGTCTTTTATCTTAATTTCATGCTTTTTATATAGTTTCACAGCAATCTTCATTTCTCCTTTTCACAAGTGAATCCTCTATTCAAGATTCCTTGAAAATTTTTGCCAGTGATACGAGACTTTTATTGTTTGCATTTATGACAGACACACTTACAAATAAAGAGAATAAGATTCTTTAACATTTATGCATATAATATGCACAGGACAGACCCCGTGCCTATATTCATACAAGCAAGTTAACTTGTATGCCTTTAACTTGGTGCAAGATACGTTATACAGCTGAAAAATAGCCATTTCACAGGTGAGGCGAGGAACTCCTTCCTCAAGTAGTTAAAGGTAACTGAATTACTTTTTCAGCTCAGATTCATTCAGATAATACATGATTAAGTTATTTGTTTGGTAGTGAGCAGCAGTGGAATCTAAGACACGCGTTTCGTTCTGTTTGTATGTGTCTATATTCTCAATGAATGTGTATCCCCATTGGGACTCGAACCCAGAAACAAAAGTTCCATCTTTATTTCATGACATCATCAAAGCATTCACGCTAGGAGTCGACGCAACCACACAGACCGAGAATTTCAGTTCAACATGACTAATCAACAGGGAGTTTAAAATAACTTCGACGAATAACTTAGTCAGTTACTAACTTGGGTGACTTTTCAAAATGATAGAATATTAAGATTTGAAGAAATGTAACACTAAGTTTTTTTAAGATTCGATTAGCAAGTATATCTAACTAAAACACAGTTTTTTGTTCAGCGAAGAAATTTCTTTTCAACGACTTCATTTACACGCTGTACATTCGTATTTATATTACAGAAAAAGGTTATTAAGTGGCACTAAATAATTGCTCAGTCAATGTCAGTATATATGTGATAAGAATAACGATAATTACAATGTTATAAGGGGTAGAGTTGAAGTGTATAAATTACAAAAATATTAAAGATTGTTTTATAAGTGAGTTGATATCAAAAATGTCAAGTGTTGTCTAAAAATTTAAAAAAAATTAGGAGTACAACTACGATAAGAATAAAGATGTGAAGTGAAGTGGAAAGAATTCAAGTGGTAAAATTAAATAAAAACTAGAAAGAACATTACTATGACCAAGGTAAAGAAAGGGGTTTGACAAAACGTTTTTGAACACATAATTTAGGTTTCTGTTCATGTATAGCTAAAGCTTCGGCTATGCATAAGTGAAGAAAACGTAAACTTTTGGATCGATTCGATTTTGCCAGGTAGATAACTTTGAAAGATGAATCACGTGGGGCTAAATGACCAGACTTTAACAGGTGATCACAAACTAAATCTAAATATGTAGGAATTTATCTTCATTCATTGAAACAGTATGTAAAATGTCAGTACTTTTTAAATCAAAATAAAACTCTCGTTTATCATCATTAACCTTTTTTAGATGGCCGGATATTATGGAATTACTGTCTAATTCAGTATACTGTCCATTCAAAGAAATGATTGAATACCTGCCTGATATCTGTTTGGTATGTTCACTTTCAGTAAAATAAATGTTGTGTTATGTATGTTGTCTATTTGGTGTTGGCTGAAAGTGGGTCCAAAATGTAAATTCTCTCCACTCTGGGGATTATCAACTAACTGCGTCGGTTGCACAAAGGTTAGGACTCTAGCCGACCATGCAAATGGTCCGGAGTTCGATCCCCTACCGACGCAGACCTGCAAAACTTAGACTACCGATGTCACATGCTGAAAATTCCATACTTCTACCAAAAATAAGGTGTGGAATCAAGTTATAATTAAAAATTAAATTTAAATTTAAAAAAATTAAATGAATCACACTCAGTGATCTCATTTCCACTATTGCTGTGATTCAGGATCTATTATTTCAATAGTCAGGAGGATATCTTCCAAGCTACATACTCATGAGTAGTATTTATGTAACAGTAAGTTAGCAAAAGAAAAGACGAAAAATTATTAATTTCAATGACAATAATTATTTTAATGTTTTTTTTTAAATAATCTACCATAATCCACAGTTTCATGCTTTACTGATTACAGATGGTTTTAGATCGTTATATAACTGAACAAGGAAAAGTGAATAATTGTGACCATGTGGTAAGTAGATAACTTCTGTTGATGTGCAAAATGTTTTTCGACCTATTACTTATAAGTGATACTGCTATTACACTCATATCCTGTTCTTCATATAAGCTTAGTTGTTAAGTTACAGAATGTAAAACTAGGTTGAGAAGGTTTCAGTCTCTAGTGTCAGTACTTAAATTCAAAGTTTCTTGATAACTGCCTGTAAGCACCTGGCATTAATCAGAATCTAACAAAATGATGGATATTTTAGCTTAATGTTTAACTTAGATTAGAACCAGATGTCAAGAGACTGCTTACCCCCAGATTACCAATCAGAATGGAGAAATTGTTACTCAACCATTAGAGTATTTCATACTTCACATAATAAGAGTAATAGATGATGGCTTGACTTAAGGTGAAAACCCGGGCTCCATTTGGATTCGAACCAGCAACCACTGATATTCTACTACCTAACTTCGAACAGAAACCCATCTGCAATCATCCCTCATTACATCAACAGAAGTCTGTCATATAGTCACACTATCAAAATAAGTTTAGCCCAACTTTTTTCAAGTGAATTATCAGGAGTTAAATCAAAGTGTTTATGATTTTTGGTTTAGTAAGTTTGAAACTCACTTCAACCCAATCCTGCTACCGCCAGTATAGAGAGCTGTAGCAAGCGGTATCTACATCTACAAAACTAATTAAATTAATTTAATCCCACTGTGCGATTCTTGATTGGTACACAGCCAAGACATTGCAGAGGATTAAGCTCAGGACTTTCAGTTTACCAGGCAATCCCGCTGACCAATCATCTACTGAAACGAAATCTAATGGTCTATAAATTCAAACCTCAATCAATTCGCAATTTACAGCGCCATTACTAGTAATTACTTACAGTATAAATTCGTCTGAAATTCTAATGAGAGGTCGTTTCCAATGGAGTCGTTTAGGTCAGGTGTGAGGAGGAATTCTTGGCGATGACATTGACTAGTGATAGTGCTGTAAATCCCTGAAAGGTTCCTCGGTGAGTACTCATGAAGAGTCCTGGACAAGGACGAAGTGGCTCCCCAGTACTTCCTGATTTTCGGTGATCCTCCGAATTTTTCTATATTTGTAATTTTAACACTTTGTAGAGGGTTTCGTTGGACTTAACTGTATTGACATTGGTAAATATTTTAGAAAAACACCTTTATTTTTGTCCTCTTTTAGACGGTGTTTGATTTCTCCTTATTACAACCTGCTTTAAAATGTCATGAAAAACAACCATCTGAACCTTTTCAATACTTAAAGGTAAAAACATTATTACAATTAATCTATTAAAAAATAGTTATTTAGTATTCAAGAATGATAACTGTATGCAATGGAAAAATCGGAATTTTGATAGAATAAAACAGAATGTCAATTATCAGTCAGCTGATAGTGGTTTACTGCTGTGTTATGTAAATGCTGACTTCCTCTAAGACAGCTTCACTACAGTCATTGTTATTTAAGAGTGTTAAGACTGTGTTTGCCTTGACAAAGTACTATAAACAGTATTTCTAATCAGTAATTTACATTCCTTACGTCTTGTGCACTGGGTTTGAGCCTCGGTGGGAACATCATCACTCACTGGGAAATGCAGGAACATCCAGCTGATGAGTTCCAACTGGGACGAAATGCGCTTCATCCTGGATTCCACTGTCAGTCACCATCCACCAATTAAATACATTCTTTACGGTTTAAGATTTCTAAAAAAAGGCAAGAAGTTTGAGACTACCTGTCATCTACTGAATTTAAACTAGAGTATAAGATCTATCGACTGTGAGAACATTCAATGCTGGATTAGTTTATTTGAAATATCTTACACTGATTGGAAGAGAAACCTAACATATGATCACTCTTCTGACTTTTAGTTTAATAACAAGCTATCTAAATCAAAAGTGGAAGATTTCATCAATTGTAGGATTTATTCAGATTTACAACTATAGTGATATTTCAGAACTTGAATAAAACAGTAAGGATAGCAATCTATCTATCTACTAACTACATATTACTTATTCTCTTTCCTTTACTTTTCGGCTGCAACATAGAGCTTCATGTTTTGATGATTCAGAATCTGTGGTTTGTTTTTAGGAGGTAGTGTAGTCGACTTCATGTTCAATCTTTCCTCTTTTCCGGGCTTACTATTGATTATTAAACTGGGGGAAATTTAGGAGTTCGTCAGCAAGGAATCGAATTAGAACTCTAACTAGTGAACATTCCACCGTTATGCTTTTTAAGTAATGCTAATACCAAAGTCTAAATCTCCTAGAGTTGGTTTTACCTAGTACTGAGGACTCTCAAAGTATTATGTATTCACAGTTCGGCATGCTTAGATGTTTAGTAGTTCCTAAGTCCATATCTGTTTATAACAAATTATTTGTTGACCAGCAAAACTTCTAAATAGTTCACTACCCGTAAACAAAACCGATATTTTCGCTTACTCAGAAAAGAATTAAAGTCTTATTTGTGAGTAATTTGCATAGTATAAGAGTTTCGAAGGAAAAGTGACTGCGTAGTTAGGACTTTCTGAGGTGAATGTAATTATGGTTACATTGTGTAATTGGAATTTCCCTGTTAGAAATTTCCATAATTAATAAGCCTGACTAGTTGTACACATCAAAATGTTGCAATTTTCGTATTAAATTTCATCAAAATCTAAATGTTTTTCTTCCAAAAAACACTGATAAATTTATAATAAAAACTTTTAAATAAGAAGGAAAGGATACATGTTAAATGAGTAAGTTTTTGTTTCTTTCTTTTCTGCCTTCAATCAATACAAAAAGATGATGGTACACTATAAACGAAAGAAACTGCTTGTTCATCCTTTTTGCGTGATGTTTCTCAAGATGAAATGGTGAGTAGATATAATGGCAGTATGTTTGGCGGTATGATTGTTATTGACAATATCCCCTTTTATTCTGTTTTCACCAATTTATCCCTGGTCTACAAAATAATAATTCATCAGTATATAGTTGTCTTGTGATTTCCAGAGCCTATAGTTCAATGGTAAAGTGCTCACCAGACACGTGGAAGGCTAACGTAGTTCTCTGCCTCTCTATATCAACCACCCGTAAAAGAGGAAAGTTTAGGCGTGAGACCAGCAACTGCACTCTGTTAAAATAACAACACGGTTACTGAAAATTCAAAGCCCAACGCTTGAAGATCTTTATTCCGCTTGAAAAGCAAAGGAGAGAAGAAGATGACGACGATGACCTCTTAATTCTTTTTATAGCCATAAAGAGGAACATTTTTGTTCAGTCATATTCCTTTATTATATATATATAACGCTCTGAATTAGGAGTACGATGGAATAAGGTAAGCTCTGAGCTAACCAAGACATCGCATCAGTGTGTAAAGTCAATCAGCGTATTCACTATTTTTAAAGGTAAACAGTGGGTAATTTACGAAAGTTTCTCAGAAATCTAGGTAATGATGATTACGATTCTCTATTAGGTTTGTTCATTATTAGATAAATTAAGATTTTATAAATGTGTTACTGTTGCTTCATTTGTGCTTATATTGTAACAGCAGAAGGCAAGTCACGGAAGAAAAGGTACATTTTCAAATGATCAAACAGCTATTTATATCTATACTGTTTATAATCTTTAACCAGTCACTTAGCGTGAGATTTTGGTTTACATGGAGGATTTAATCATGAGCTGACATCAGTTAGAGAACCACTGGAAAACCACTGGTGGAGTACTGGAGTCCAGTACTCCCAGGTTTTCCAGTGGTTCTCTAACTGATGTCAGCTCATGATTAAATCCTCCATGCAATCAAACAAAATCCCTACAAAACCAATACTTGAAAATTTTGGTTTACATTAAACAACATGAAATAGAATGTTCAAATACATATATACAGTATTCTGTTGCTAATGCACAATTTAACTGTGAGAATAGTATTCAGACGTTAATACCAACAAATACAATGATTCTTACTGTGAGAATAATATTCCTTTGGAACCCATTGTCTGTATCACACCGCCACAATGTTACCTTAACGTCCGTCACATTTTTGATGGCTATTTTATAGTTGATATATGTTGTACACTGACATTATTTTATATATTTCTAAAGAGGAGAAATGTACTCTTTCTCAATAAAGTGAAGATTTTACGCGTCCTAATACGTTTTTATGTAAATTAACTGACATTCTATAAACTTAGCTTTTACTGTTAGCTGACATTTGCCAAAACTACTATGCTTACTTCGATCTTGAGTAACGTGTAATGTTATTCAGCTGCAAACTATTTAACACGTCCTTTCAAATTCATGAATAAGGCGTAACATAACAGGTAGTTATTTGCTTTATTGCCTAACTGTAAGGATTTAGTCATTTTCGACAGTTGTGTTAATTGACATATCACTGGAAAATGAGGTGTACTGGGTGGCAGCATCATCTTTGTGTGAGGCTTTCTAAAAAGGACCGAATTCTGGGTCGTCAAGTTTTTATGTATAACCATGTTATCATTCATGTGCGACGGTGGCTCGGAGGTAGAATGATCACCAATCGCCTAAATCATCCAGAATTCGACTCCCAATGGACGCACTCCTAAATAGCAGCCAAGAGAAAGCCCGGTGAAGAGGGAAGCTTAAGCGTGAGGCTGGTAACCCCACCGCGTATAAAATAACACTACTGCTTCTGGAACTTCAAAGCTGTAGCTTGAAGCTGTACATTCCAATCGGAACGTTAAGAAATAAAATTTCAAAAATGGCGTCATTTGAGAAACAGATTGAAATTACACCTTCCATGATTCTTCAATTATTTACTAGAGCCCAATGAAAGTATTAATTATAATATTGCCTCTTTATAGAAGCTACTATAAAACGTTTCCTCTTGTTCCCATATTTGCATCAAAGGAAAATGTATGGAAGATGGATTTATTTAATATTCACTCTATATTATATCACACTGAGTTTAACAGTCACACTACTTACTTTAAGACAAGTTCCATCAAATATAAATTATGCTGATATTGATAATAGCAATAATAATAATAATGATAACCAAACAGCCTATTGTGTTCAAAAGGTAACTAACTTTTCAAATTGTAATGAATATATCTATAATTCATTTTCACAGCTAATTATTTCATGTATGTTTCACTAAACAAGCCCTTTTTTGTATAACTGTTTCATTATAAGGAATAGAAAGTTAGTAACAGTAGAACTGTTGTCACTGATAAAACTGATAATATTACTTGGCGAACAGTGATTGACTATTGAATTGGTAAAATTAAATTGGAATGACACTGACTGACGAATAAATAGGTCCCACTGGTTGATAGTGTAGTAGAACAATAATTGCTCGAGAGAAACTGAGTGAAACACAGAATACAGAACGGCTTCTTCGTTAAACCTTACTTTTACAGCTAATGAATTATCTTTTTTTAACGTAGAATAACAGATTAGTTATGTTGGGCGTCAAAATTAATAGTCATATTTGTGTGACAAACGTGCTAGTTGGCTGAAATCGATTACAAAATATTGTAAAACGGGAGACAATGGTGGTGATTAATCATAATAGATTTGTAGAGTGTGGTATAGGAAAATTGACAAATCAGTTCAAGGTTATAGAAGGTGTCAGGTGAGTGGCTAGTACAAAGTGGTCTGTGTTAAACAGGAGATAGTAATACCGCGATGAGAGGTTCATAACGAAATAACGAATTTGTGAAATGAAACAGGTGGAGGCATATATTGAGAAAAAAGATAATATCACTAATAATGAGTCCGGATAGTATAAATGAAAAATTCGATAGTACTGAGGGAATGTTTGCATGAAAGGCATAAATTATGACGAATAATAATAATTGTAATAATAGTAATAAGCAAAGGAAAAGAAAAGGAAAAAAAACCCAGAGGGTTAAGGGGAAGGAGCACTCTTGGTGAGAAGAAGAACCACCAGTCCAAGTTTGGCCACGGTAGGAACAGCGTCTGGACGTGTTCCTTTTTGGATACAAAGTAGGGCACACGATTAGGCAGGTTCGTCTACGCGTTTGAGAACATTTACCAGCTTGGTTTAGCAGGGGGGAAATTAAGTGCATCAAAAGCTCGATCCTGTCGCATTTGGTTGATACTGGACATCGTATCGATGTCAACTAAGCTTTCAGGGTTACATACCGAATTCCGAAGTTGTTATCACGTACAGCTCGCTTACGTCTACTACACATAGCTGAATCTTTTGCAATAAGATTGACTAAACCGGAACTTTGTATCAAAAAGGAACACGTCCAGACGCTGTTCCTACCGTGGCCAAACTTGGACTGGTGGTTCTTCTTCTCACCAAGAGTGCTCCTTCCTCTTAACCCTCTTGGTTTTTTTCCTTTTTTTTTTTTTTTTTTTTTTTTCTTGAAATTTGGCCAAAATTCACAGGCCGTCCATAGATATCAGGTGTGCGTCGGCGTGGGCTCGAACCCCGGACCATGTGCATGGTCGGCGAGAGTCCTAACCACTGTGCCACCGACGCACCATTCCTGTGCTTTTTAATATTATTACAATTATTATTATTCGTCATAATTTATGCCTTTCATGCAAACATTCCCTCAGTACTATCGAATTTTTCATTTATACTATCCGGACTCATTATTAGTGATATTATCTCTTTTCTCAATATATGCCTCCACCTGTTTCATTTCACAAATTCGTTATTTCGTTATGAACCTCTCATCGCGGTATTACTATCTCCTGTTTAACACAGACCACTTTGTACTAGCCACTCACCTGACACCTTCTATAACCTTGAACTGATTTGTCAATTTTCCTATACCACACTCTACAAATCTATTATGATTAATCACCACCATTGTCTCCCGTTTTACAATATTTTGTAATCGATTTCAGCCAACTAGCACGTTTGTCACACAAATATGACTATTAATTTTGACGCCCAACATAACTAATCTGTTATTCTACGTTAAAAATGTAACCGCCGCATAACTGGCCTTTATTGTAACGACAACAAATATTATATTTTACAATTGTAAGAACCTGAAGAGAAATTATTGAAAAGAATATTCTCCGTTCAGATTGACTTTTAATTCATAATATGGGAATATTTCACACTATCAAATCTTATAATGAATTATTGTTCAAGTAGAAAAATATTATCTAGATTGTTTAAATATGGAATATTTAACAGACAGTAAATCATCAACTAGGAATAATTTAAAAGATTATCAGGAAAATCAAAATGAAGCCGTACCAAAAGAATAGAGACTGCGTTTCTCTTCCACAAGTTAAGATTATAACTATTATGAAGATTGTTCTCAATCCACTGATTCTGAAAATAATTTAGAAGTTTTCTATCTAAAAACACAGTCAAGATAAGTCATTGATGTTACCCATTTTGATGTGTGAAATTTAAAAGTGACTTCTTTGGTATTAACCACATGAAGGATGTATGTAGAATACTTGCGAATTTCAAACTCAGCAACCATAGATTATAAAGAAAACCAACCATAAGAATATTATTAACCCTGTAGATTTTGTCACAAATAAACATCAGTTGGAGAATCATTGAAAAACAAGCAGCACTGAACAGCTATTTCGTTCTAATCTGGGAATTTCCCGTAGTGTGATGCATAACCCCATCGAAACCAGAGCCATCAGATTTGTCTGGAATTCAGTGACCCGTAAATTTTAACTTCTGTCAATTGGCCATAGAGGAAGAACTACCGCCAACCAGTGCTACTGATGAAAATCCGCTTTACTGTGACATGGCTGATACCACTGGCGATGAATTGTCATCACAATTTCAGAACATCCATTTTATTCGTAACTAATCGCCTGGAGACCTATAGGAACATTTTGGGTTTGTAGGATTTTCACTGGTTTCACTGCATACTTCGACCCCTTATGGGGTCACACTACTGAATACACTAAAATCAGTCGAAATTCATACAAAACCTAAAATCTGAATACTATTTACAGTTAGTAAACCAGAAAAAATTATCATGAAAACAAACTCACAATTATCCTGTAAATTTTAGTGATCGCATCTTCAACAGAGGAGAAATTTATAATCCAGGCAATATATAGTCCTGTGAACTTTTCTAAAATTGCGCCTATTAATTTATTTTACATACTAAAATTGATTTTCAAGTATTGGTTGAGCTCGCCTTGTAACCAGAAGGTCCTGGGTTTGAACCCTGGTGGGTGCGTACTGCTGAAAGGTCCCAAACTAGGATGAAACAGCTGTCCCAGTGGTTCTCTAACTGATCTCAGCTCATGATGAAATCCTCCATGCACTAAAATTGATTATTAAAAATTTGCTTTCTTCTACTGTCTATCTTATCTGTACAACCAGGTGAATGAATCAGGAAATGATCGAGGAATCTTTATATTACTTCTGTTCATTAGTTTATTCAGTGTGCTTATAAAATGCTTGAAAATTGCTACAAAAGTAAGTCTGAATATATTTAACAACCTAAAACTACATGGAGATTCTCCTCAACATTCTTTATTACTCTGAAGTAGTATGAAACTTCCTGCCAAAGTTTCTATTATGACATTTGAATTCCGAATGGGAATTCTTTTTATTGTGATGACGTCTCGACTACAGTTTATTCTTGCTAACTGCACTAACATAAACATCCAACTTTATGATCAGTTCTAAACAGTTTGACTATTTTTCATTCCTTGTTATTTTAACAACAATAGTATATTCTATATTTTACTTGATTATTAGGGATCATTCGTGTTGCCCATTATAGGCTGGCAGAAATTCAGGACTAGTCCTTCTCTCCAGTTAGCGCATTGATTCTTAGGAATTCTTACCTTTATCCACCCTGATATGTGTAAATAAGTCATGAAAATAAGAGAACTCTTCTTGAAATCACTTGTCCTTGATGGGTCCATAATCTTGGATTTAGTTAAATTCTCATGTTGTGATAACCCCATTTACCTCAGTAAAAAGTTTGAGCATTGTGGATTAGATCAAATAAAGCATAATTATATTTCAGTGTTTACACACAATGATAAGTTTTGTTATTGGTAATTTTGCTCGAAATATTACCAATAACAAAACTTATCATTGTGTGTAAACTACTGAAATACAATTATACTTTATTTGCTCATTTACCTCCTTCTATTACTTGAATCCAGTCTTTGATAAATTGAATTGATTTTTCTCTTTGGTCAATTGAATTCCTCAGTCGAACATCTAGACTACAAACAAGTTTGTAGTTTTGAATAACACTATTATGTATGATTTCATGTATTCTATATTTGTTTGACAAAATTATAAAAGCCTCTTAGCAGTATTACAATCTCTACTGACACTGTTCTTAGTTGTTATTAGTTTGTGATTGAAATGCACAAGATATTATCTCAATAACTATCTTCCAGAAATCATTCAGAAATCCTTAGGAATTCGATATCATAAAAAACTATACTGTACTCCTATGATTAACTCAATGACTGGGAGATCAACTTAGAACTTTGTACAAGAGTATATGATTTCATTTTTCCATATAGTACCCAAATCTGTATTTTTACATGTCTTTTGAATGCTATCTTCTCTAAAAGCTTACCAAGCAATATGAAGACTTGGCATTTAACTTGGGGTCCTAGTGGGAAGCCGTGACCAGTAGGGTACAGCAGGTGAAGCAGTAACTCATCGAAGAAGACACTGCGAAGTAGTTGTGCTATGTCAAGAATTAGCAGAAGTTACAATTTATGGGCTGGCTATTGGATCTGTTGGATCCCAGTGAGTGGCTTAATGGTCTGCGAGTTCTCTGGCCTTGTAAGCAGAAGGTCCAGGAATGGTAGGTGGGTACAGCTGAAGAGTCCCGAACTAGGCCAACGAAACAGCTGTCCAGTACTCCCCAGGTGGTTTTTCAATGGTTCTCTAACTGATGTCAACTCGTAATGAAATCCTACAAAACCAATGCTTGATATGAAGAATTTCTTTTGTTAGTCTGTAAATGACTTACACTAAAAGCCTACTGTCACCGATCTCCAGTCATTCATCAGTGAATTCATAGACTTTAGAATAATGTTGTATAAGGATGATAAAACCTAGCTTAGAAAAAGTGTAATTTTACACACAATTCTACTGACAATACATTTGATTGGTCTTAATACCTATATCGAAAAAATGTGGTATGATGTAATGTGAAATTTTTGAGGAAATCTTAAATATCCGCTTACTTTTTCAGTGCTTAGACAAAGGCAGTCAATAAGTACATTGATTGGACTCTAGGCAGAACCGAATATCATGTATTTAGTCCTTTGTATTGGTGATGAGTGTATTCCTTGAGTTGAATTCACAATAAAGTCACCAAGCTAGTGACATATAATCATATTTTCTGAATTAATATTAGATGGTCATAGAAGTAGCACAGCAGAATAGCTCAGTGAAATATAAGGCTTCAGAAGAAGAGTATCTCCTTTCTCCCTGTTCTCTGTAGTCTTCCTGACCTAGCTTGATGACTATCCGATTGCTTTCGATTCCTTCTGACACGATCTCTTCTGTGTCACTCTCAGACATCCTACTAGTCGTTTCCTGTTCGGATTCCACTCAAGGGTTGACATGGCTCGTCATATCATTCACTCACTTTGATATAGAAAATGTATATTTATGTATTACACAGCTTTTTAGTTTGACTAAAATAACAAATGCTATTTTCAGACAAGGGGAATGATTATTTTCGAAGAAACTTTTCATACAACACAGAAAGATGCTTATAATGAACTATATCGGAAAGCCTTATATCAGTTTCGTTTTTTTTTTACTATTGTTTACTCATCATTCACGCCGAGGGAGTCTTTTTCTTCTTCTTTCCATTTAGAAACTGTATTATTTCGAAGGTTTCACAAATTACTTCACTATCACATTTCATATATTGCTTATCATAAATTTAGTGATTAACTTAATTAGTCAAACAATATCATACGGTATTGTATTGTCTATAATTGTTATGTTTATGGCATGGATAAACTTGTTGCTGCAAATGCTCAGGTTAGTGCACATATATTTATATATATCAGTATGAAATGAAATTGAATATTTTCAAGTGCAAGTTTACACGGATTTGATTGATTTCAAGTTAAATAAGGAATTGACATCAGTTAGAGAACCGTCGAAAACCAAGGAGTAATAGATGAGAGTTTCATCCAAGTCGGGGACCCTTCATCAGTAGTTACCCATGTCCTAACAGAGAATAGTACTCAGGACCTTCGTGTTACTGTTTGCTCATGAATTCTAACTTCTGACGATTCTTGATAAATAGTGTCACAGTTAGCTAATGGGATATACAAAAACTTAAAATGAAAATCGAATTGAATATTGAGTGAACTGAGTAAAAGTTCAGTATGGCATAGTTGTTAAATCTCATGCATTAATTGATAAAGTACAGAATTATGGTTAAAAAATTCTTCAGTGCTCTTCAGTTTCCATTGGTTCTCTGACTGATATCATTTTATAGCTAAAGTTACTTTCAAGTGAATGGAGTGCACATAAATTCTAAATATGAAGACTGATTTCCATTTTTGTAATCTTTACATACAGCGTACTGCGCTAAATCATGAATTGGTAGAAGTTAGAATTCATGGTCCTGGGTTCGAACCCTGACAGTGGGTGCGTACTGGCGATGATTCGCAAACTAGGACGGAGGAAACAGCTTTCCAGTACTCCTTGGTTTTCAACGGTTCTCTAACTGATATCAATCCGTGATCAACTCGTAAAAGCAAATCTAATCCTTACAAACCAACTGTTGAAAATTAATACCTAAATAATTAATAGGAAATAATAATTGAATTTTAATGGTTTTATCTAGTTAGAATAACTGATATATTTCTTTAAAAACCTTTTTTGTTTAGAATACTCGCCCAAATTATACTAACACTTCAATGCAAGGTGCAGATGAATAACAAAGTGCTTCTATTCATGTCCAAAGCTAGTTCTGTTTAATAACAAGTAGTTGTATAGAAGGTGGTCACTTTTGTCACTTCATCTGTCCATTCTCTGAAGATATATATTCATAACTTGTCCTTGAAGTCTTCCTCTGATATGACATTTATTTTTCCGTACATCTTAACAAAACTTATCATATACATAATCGGAAGTTCTGTTATTGAGTGCATAAACAAGGGATAAAATGAGACATCCGTGAGTGTCAGTATTCTTCTAAACTTTGAAAATGCATTAAAATAGGCAGGTAACAGTCAACTTAAATTCGAGTGAACAGTATTTTTAATCTACGTGTACCATCTGATATTCAGTATGGAGTCAGAGACAACTCCTTTCAATGAAAGTCTCTAACAGTCTGTTAGGAATGTACAACAAGTCACTTAGCCAAATAAGAGGAGCGACTGTACAATAGTGTTAAAAGTTTGGATTTTGTTCGCTTTACTTAGTGATGTACATCTCCACAATGATTTCAGACTAACGAACACTTCTCCTGCTTTTCTGCCAGTAAGAGAAACTAAAAAACCATCGATATACCTGTTCTACTTCTGAAGAAGTGGTTGGAAAGAGTAATGATGCAGTGCTTCGACAATGTGAGTCATCAGAATTTAACTAATCAGAAAGATTATTAAAGCCATCTCAGGAAGTACCCAAAGTTATTGTGATAAGCGCCTGACCGGTAAACAGAAGAATAGTATGACAACATACTTTGTACCTCTGGTCAACAAGAGCGATAAATTATACCCATATAATTAAATTAGCTTGGTTGGTGGATGTTATGATCAACGAAGCTGACAGAATAGCCTTCAAAGTTATTCGACTATTCAGAAAGCAATCACACTCTAGGATGTCTTTTTACCTTGTTTTTTTTTAAATCATCTATTTTTATAAGAAACATGGATCTGTGCAGTCATACGTATATACGTTTACTATTCATTTATTTACTAACTTTAGGTCCCAAGATTTGGGAATATTTGTCATTATGTTTATACATGTAACAACTACAGTAGCCAAAGTGTTCCCCTTATTTTTATGCCTTCTTACTGGATTTGCAACAGTATTCTGGCAACTACTTCAGTCACCTGAGGATAAGGTAAATGATAATTTATATCGCTTATAATTAATTAATACAACTAACATTACTAAAGTATATGTGAGTTATGTACTTATTTATTAAACGTCTGGTATCCCAGCTTGGTCACAGATAAAGAACAAATGACTTTCACTTTTCATTATTCTATGCTATCCCTATCAAGTGTTTTCACACTATATTTACTTCTTTTAGGCATCCGTTTTTTACACTGAGGCTAAATGTACTTTTCACGTTAGAATGCTCACTGACTGCATATGTGGCCTGGACTCGATTCCCGACTGATACATTTTTAAACCTCGTTTAGCCGACAGTAAGCCTGTTATAAACAGTAGCTTTGATGTGAATAAAGCAACTGCACTTCGTAAAACAAATGCTACTACTGAAACTTCAAAGATCAAGCTTGAAGTCCTTTGTTCTGCTGAGAACTCAAAGGAATGAAAGAAACTTCGTTCATTATTTCTTTCAAATGGTATCACTATTTTCATCATGTAAAATTAACTTTACGACTAAAATCAATGTCAAATGATGAAGATTCCTGGCCAACACCAACAGCAACAACAACAACAGACAACAATCAGCCAGCATGAATGGGAGGAACCTGAGAGAAACAACCTCCCTTACCTACCTACCTAGGAAGCATAGTTTCAACTACAGGCCATCGGAACTGACAAGGATATCAAAGCAGCGAGGATCGGAAAAGCAAGGCAAGCTCTCATAACTCTCAAGTCTGTGTGGAGGTCAACAGCCCCACTCAGCATCAAAAATAACATCCGGATTTTCAACTCCAATGTGAAGTCACTCAGTGCTAATATACGGATAAGAGACTTGGCCAGCGCGTCATAAAGAGCATCTCAAACAAACTTCAGACCTTCATCAACAGTTGTCTTCGCTCAGTACTCAAGATCAGATGGCCGGCCAGAAAAGATCACCAACAGGGATATCTTGCAATGAGCGAACCAACCAGGAACCGATTGTGCAACAAACAGACAAGCAGAAATGGAGATGGATTGGTCATACACTGAGGAAACCATCAAGTGACATCACACGACAGGCCATCGCTCAAGTGGAACCCGAATGGGAAGCGGCGAGTTGGTCGTCAGTGCAAGGGTGACTTGGAGGAGGTAATGTGAAGAGGAGATGAAGGCGTGTGGGCAGACTTGGAGCGGGGTGAAAAAGTTGGCAAAAAACCGAGGCGATGGAGACGCGTGACTGAAGCCCTATGTTCCTCTAGGAACTAAAGGATATAATAATAATATAATAAATAATACAGTGACTACGCCATTTATTAGTTAAATATAATATGTTTACCCCATGAAACTAGAATCTCTAAGGATTATATGCTAGGAACTAGGGTTCGTTGGTCTAGACACTTGATGTCCAACCTGTAAGTCACCGTATCGAACTTCACTCCGCCTACCGAGGTTTGAGCAATCAGACAGTATCAGTAGCCTTCATACAGTAGGTGTCAGTTGCACCGATATGCAAGTGGTTGTTGAGTAACACCTCATTATTCCATTCTATTGCAAAGTGTATGGTTCGCGAAGTCGTTTAAGCATACTTAGCATAAGGCCAATACAGCTGAAAACAGCTGGTTGAGAAAAATGCTTCTTTTGTTTGCTGTTTTTCATATACGTGTATAGTTCATTTGTTTTACACTAACATTTTAGTTGAATTGAAAATAAGTCACACCTCACTCTATTATGTAATATATTCGCTAATAAAATTTGTCTGTAAACATAATGTCAGCCTTAGAACTGAATGACTTTGCTTAGAAAATGTAACACTGAGAATATTCTAAGTGGAATGTGAATGTAGCCCAGTTTCTGAAGTGCTATTCCTATGTGGTGAGAACTGGCTGTTAGTCAAAATTGGTGGACAGTAATTCACGTCAATGTTTATGTCCCCAATATTGGTCGTGAGAAAAATGAGAACAAAGACTGCGTAGGCGGATACAGTTAGCATATAGATGATTTGACATTCAAGAAACAGTCACAAAGAGATTCAAGGTTAACTTTCTGTGAGAAACAACCAATCAGAAGAGTGTGTTTTTCTGCTAACAATAACGTACAATAATGTACATGAAAATCTTTGAATGTGTTGATTTCCTAAATAAACAATCTGCTGTCTGGCCATTGTCTTCTGTTGTTACACCTATATGTACACTTTGCCTCAAATATCGGCACTTTCAACATGCATAAAATCTTTCATCCTTTTCTTGTTTGACTTTTTTTATATTCTCCCCCATTAGGAGTTTGATATTCTGTCTGAGACAAGTAAAAACCAACTAAGGAAATGTTTTACTGGATATGAAATTCTGTTCTATCAGTCAGTAAATAAAGAAACAATAGATAATGGTAGACATATGAATGTATTCAGTAGTATTGGTTTATCATTTTTCAATACATTAATGATGATGATGGGTGAATATAAGCACACAACAGTTATTATTCAACCATACTTAGACAACACCCTACCTATAATCTCTTTTCCAAAATTAACATTCATCTTCTATATAGGATTTGTTATTTTAATACCAATAACCCTGATAAATTTAACGGTAAGTAATTGCTTAAGAATAATAATAATAATTTGCTTTATTCCAAAACAGTACTTCTCATACAGAATGGAATTCTCAGCATTTCACTACAGTATTGCATTCAGTTTGTACACTAACAATAAATAAAATTCTACATAAATTATGAGTATTCTCAGTTAATTTTGACAACAACAAATTAGCATATCGGTAGCAAAGCCAAAAGTGAACAGAATGTTTGAAGGTGTTAGAAAAGTAGTTAGTTAGTTAATTAGTAGATACTAGTGTCCAATCAAAGTATTCAATACAGTCCTACAGGAGGTCAATCGTGAGCCCAAATAGCTCAGTGGTAACGTCTCTGACTGCAGCACTGGGTGACTCGGGTTCGAATCTCAGTAGGGACATGAGTTCCTTCAAGGTTGAAGATACGCCTTGCCAACGAGTGCCAAATAGCATGAAACGTAGGTCCAAGGCATCCTGCCGATTGCCTCCATCTATTCAATATCTACATAGATACTAGCATATTTACTCGCGTAAGTGGTAACAAAAAGGTCGACACATTACAGAGTGTGGAAGAACGAACAATGTTTTAAGTAGAGTTTATAAGGAAGAGAGAAACAAACAGCGCATAACAAAAAAGAGAGAAAAGGGACAAAGAAAGAAGACGTTGTACCTATAAATGATATGAGTTTGAAAGACGAGATCCAGTTGTTCTACTGACTATTTAATAAGTTATAAGTTTCACGCCTAATGCTTTCATTATCGCACAGAACACGAGCCAAGTAGAGTATGGTTGAGTTTTTGTACTTGCTAGTGCGAGCACATAATTTTCTATATAGGCTTCTGGTCTGCCTGCCTGATGAGATACAAGGGGAGAGCTGTGAATGAAGAGAGTGGTGTGAGTTAGATAGAATGGATTTAACCCATTAGCTAATATTATTATTTTTAATTTATCCCTTTGCATCCCCAGTGAAACAAAGGGCTTCAAACCAGAGCTTTGAAGTTTCGGTAGCAGTGGTGTTTATTTTTACGGGATGGGACTGCTAGTCTGACGCCCAACCTTCCTTCTCTGTCGAGCTTATTAACAGCTAAGCGAGGTTTGGGAGTGCATCGGCCAGGGATCGATCCCCGGACCACCTAAGTGGCCGGCGATACGTTTAGCTAATATAAAATCGATGTATTGTAGTGATGGCTAAAGGTGAAATGAAAGTCTAGGTCACGGTAGGATTCGAAGCAAAGGTCTGTGGCTTAGCAATCCTGTGCCTTCTATTGGCTGAACTGCGAAATTTCACTGCTAACCAGGTCATTACTTTACTGCAATCAGCAGAGAAAATGCTGAACTGTCAGGTGAATGAATGACACGTTACTGTCCGTTTACCATCATGCTCAATTAGATATTCTTCTGTCAATCTTAATCTAGACGAATTAGAAGCAGTAGAGTGAGTTACTAACTGACTATGAAACTATACGAGATAGTCTTTGGTTGGTAGACTGTTACTTATATTGACCGAAGTATAAAATTGTTCATGAGTGGATCTCACTTTCTACCCTTGCAGAATTAAATTGATCTAAAGACTTAATGGGATGAATTTAAATCAGTGACTAAATCTTGCTTCTACTACTGGCATGTAAACGTTCTTTATTCCTGTGTAGTGCATACTTATAGACTTGGTCAGTAGTAAGAATCACAGAATTGATTACCTGCTTAATATCAAAATTCAGTTTTCATTAGTTCAAACCCCAAAATGCCTTTTCACATGATGCTGGCAATCTCTTTCAGTAAAGATTCATGCATAAAATTTACACAGTACATTTTTTCTTTACCTCATTTTTATTTATCTCCTGATAAAACTGAGTAAATTTTACATTCTGTTTAATTTCAAATTCAGATAGGATTAGCAGTTGGCGATATTGATAAAATTCGTCAGAGTGCAACACAAGAATTAATTTCTCAACAAGTTTACTGGTTGGATAGTTTAGAGGCGAAATTTCCTCGTTGGTTTTATGAAAAAATGTGTGTTCAACAATGGTTGTTGAAACCAGCTATGACGGATTTACCAAAAGTAAATTTTATTTTACATCATTTTTAGTAGAACTATTTATGAGTAAGCTATTCTCGAACTAAAGATAAATTTTAGTAGAATGGAAATTGATTATGTGGATGTGAACAATTATATTAGTTACAAGTAAATCGTGGCTATGTCAGCAATTAACAATCATAAAATATAGAAAAAAATGAATCCATTTAACACGGTAGTGTGAAATTAATCGTTCTCTTTTTATTCAGCGTACTGCTGAAGCAGAGTCCCAAAGTAGGACGAAACAGCTGTCCACTACTCCCTGCAGGTTTGCCAATGGTTCTCTAATCGATGTCAGCTCATGATGAAATCGTCCAACCAATCGAACGAATCCCCTTCAAAAACCAATACCTGGAAATCTCATCAATTTGTAGTTAAGACTAGAACTATGATCTTCGTTCACAGTGTATCCACTCCCTTTCCTTTAAAGTTGGTCAAGGCAGGACACAGTTTTATTTTAGTCCGGTATTTCAAAAGTTACTAGACGCCTTTTCAGAAAAGATTCAAAAATTCAGCAGAACTTTTAGTTCATTGTTTGATCACTAAGACACCAATACTGTCATAATGCGTAGTCCTCGGTGTCAGTTGTCTTCAACCATCCAATATTAGAATCTTCATTTATGTGTGCATCTACAGAATCGGATGACTATGTAAAATTCACCCATTGTGAGTATGTCATTGTTGATTTTGACGTGAATCTACATAAGTAAAAGGAGCAATGGGCATATGTGTCTTCTCAGTTTGAGACTCTCCCATCATGAGAAGTTCAAACCATGATCCATAAGTTTTTTTATTATAGCTTGATGCCACACCGTATATTCGTTACAAGTACTGAATTTTCAGCATATGATATCGGTAGCCCAAATTTTTCAGGCCGACCATAGATATCGGGTGTACGTCGGCAGGGGATCGAACCCCGGACCATGTGCATGGTCGGCGAGAGTCCTAACCACTATGCTACCGACGCACACTTTAAGGTATTATCCTTTGAAATTCAATGGCTAATGATTTTTCCCTTCTATTTATTCCTGACATAACCTAATGGTTAAATATTAATGTAATAATAACCTTGTAAACAATTTTTTAAAAACTTTTCTTATACAATAGACAATTTAATTTCATTGAATGATCGTTTGTCTTTTGTGTTTAATAGCATGAACGTTCGAAATATGATTTTAATGAAGTGATCATATTTTTAAATAACAAGTAAGAGAAATTTTTTGCCAAACACAATTGTCTTCAAACTTGTTATATACTACAGAACAAAACAACAAAATGGTGCAGGGATTCGTAGTGTAGATATAACTCGATAGTTTTACCATTAAACTTGCAAACTATGAGTCCCAGGTTCGAGTCTCACTCCACCTACTTCAGCCTGCAGACATAGTGTGTGTGTGTGGCCCATATGAAACGTCAGTCCCAGGTAGTTCAGTTCAAAAACATATACAGAAATTAGTTATTATAAGTTGGAGAATAATATCAAATAGAAGGTATTATTAAGCAATAAACTACAATTACATGGTTGAAGGTAATCGGAAGGAAGCCCTCAACCATCAGATATCATCAGATCAATGTGCACCGTGATGGTGAGCTGCCGAGGATGGCGGCCACATTGCAAACCTAACTGATAGAATTCAGTCTGCACCAAAAAAAGCACTAGATACACCACACTAGTTACCAGTGTCCAATCAAAAAAACTACACTTACATTGATATCGTTTCATATTTATCGAAAACTTCTGCAAAACATGAAACACATTTGGTGATAACCTTCATCATCTAAAAGTAAAACATATGATCCTCAAAAAAATCAAATTACAGCAGGGAAGTATGTTTAACAAATGGTATTACTGATACATATTTACGGATCCGGTTAGCTTAAGTGTATGAGTATTTATTTTTTTATTTTTTGAATATAGCTTGATTTCACACCGTATTTTTGGTAGAAGTATGGAATTTTCAGCATGTGATATCGGTAGACCAAATTTTGCAGGCCGACCAATTGATATCAGATGTGCGTCTGTAGGGGATCAAACCCGGGACCATTAGCATGATCGGTTAGAGTCCTAACCTTTGTGCCACCGGCGCACAGAATATAAGACTTCAACAGTACAACTTTAGTTCATCTTGTTATCTGCACTCCTTTTTATCTGTTTCTACAGAAGTTTTCACCTCCTGTATGTCATCTTCGAACACCCAACTCATTGATTCTGATTCGCATTTCACTCTAGGGTCTGGTGCGTCATGTCACTCAACAGAGTGAAACATTCAATTGCCAGATAGAGAATAACTTCTGGATACAGATTACTGATGAATATTAACAAGAATATAAAATTAGACCAAAGCAGCATCCCTTGTCAATTAATTCGTAACATCCTAAATACAAATAAAGTATAATTATATTCTAATAGTTTACACAAAATGATAAGTTTTGTTATTGGTAATATTTCGAGCAAAATTACCAATAACAAAACTTATCATTGTGTGTAAACTATTAAAATATAATTATACTTTATTTGATTAGATCAAAATCCACAATGCTCAAACTTTTTACTGATATTAATCCTAAATACAGATTACTAAGATAAGAAGAGAACAATCTCTAAATATGGATCTTTTGAAGGGAAAAGCCTTATCAATTTGTTGTGATGGTTAGAAATGAAAGACTGCCGAAGAATATTCAGGCAGCAAATTAAAAGACTGCATCAAATAAGAGTACAAAATCGAGAGATATTTGCCCCACTAAAATAGGCGAACAACAAAACACAATGCAGCCTAAATCCTTATGGAAAGTAAAATAGTGCTGAAGAAGTTAGAACGTGACTCCGAAACAATCATCTAGTTATATCAACAAGCTGAAATAACTAAAAGACAAATTACATGTTTAGAAGTGATAAAAATTCATTAAATAAAATAGTTCCATTCTGGTCTTACCTGCTTGATATTAGTTGGAGGTAGAATCAAGCACAAGCTGCTTCTATATTTATGATCCAATGAATTGTGATGTTCTCACTTCTACACGAACCCAACACTTGTTTTTTCAAACACTAAAGTGTTATCTCAAACGAAAGTTTCTAATCTTTTGCAAAAGGTCTCAGTTATGTTTGTTTTTTTCACACCCGCCGTTTATTTTACTGAACTGAATTAATTAGCCACTGTTGCCACATGAGTATCTAAGACAGAAAAATACTATGGAGTCAACAGAAATTCATCACTTTCCTTCGGTAAATAAATATTGAGAAAGCAAGAATATCGATAAGTAAAGTGACTTCATTTTATTGCATAATTGCTGACGCAGCCGCTTAATCAACAGCTATTTACCCGGCTAGGCAGCACTGTCCCAACGATAAGCGGCAGGAATGAGGATGTCGAAGCAATCTACGATCAGGAAAGTAAAACAGTGTGAAGAACTATAGTACAAGGAATAACATCTAGAGTTTAGCGCTCATGTTAAGCCAAAGCTTCTGTATGGTTCGGGGACTCGGTGTAGACTTAAATCAACAGCTGCCGTTGCTAGATAATATCAGACAGCCGACCACAAAGGATAAGTAACAAGAAACTCTGGTAGTGCAGCAAATCAGATCTTCAATTCACATCAAGCTCGTGGTCCTCCAATGGGAGACGATTAGTTGTATGTGGGGACGAGAATGACATAGAGGAGGTCATTTGAAGCGGAAGCGAACGCTCTTAGGAAAGCCTCCTTGTAGCCACCTGAAAATAACGGCAGACGACACAGTAAAATGGAGACGTGCTGAAACCCTATGTCTCAATCGGAACATCAGGAGAGAATAATAACAGTACACAGAAATCACATTAATAAGGCTATGTTGAAACCAACCTGACTCCTTGTCTAAATATTAGAAAATAATTAAAATTAAGTAATTCGGCACTTAGCCAAAATCTTTAATAGATAACAGCTGGAAACTGCAAATTAATTTGTCTGGATAACATCACTTGGACATTTGATTTTGCTCAGAATCTGAAGTTACTTAGTTGACTTCCTGCCTATCAATTACGAAGTGTGTCAGTGAGAACATATACATCTCCGACCATACTCGTATGTTACCATAATAATACCCAAGAAATATGCTTTAATACTGTTCTATACGAAGCTATTGACGACGATTTTAGCGACTTCACCACAATCCAAATGAATTCATCTGACGAGCCCTGGATGGGATGAAACAAGTGTTTTCAGTAACAATAATGATAACTTTGCTTCCTTTTTATTCAAATTCTACATCATACGCTTTAAATTTTTCTAGTTATTAACTCTACCTGTTGATATTTTTTTCTTACTAATTTAGATTGAATAAAATCAACAATAAGTTAAAATGGAATAATTATCGATTAAAATTACTAATGACAAAACTTGGAGTACAAACTTTAGAAACCTTATTGGATACTGGATGTTACAATGAAGTTGGCTGATAATGTAATGGTATTATTCACTACGGAAAAATTACATTGAATAGAATTATATACGCATTCATTCATTTGTATTAGAGTTCCATTAAATATTTTAAAGCATACAGAAATTACAGTACTAATAAATTTACTATAAAGAACGAATGATTAGACTTTCTAGATCGATCACAGTTTAAAAAGATGATTATTCAAATTTTAGGTCTGTGGAGATGGATGTTCTGAAGTTCTAACGAGAAGTCATGACCACTGCATATAGATCTATGGCGCTGGTTGGCGTTAGGGCTAAATATCGAGAATTAAAAAGAATTAGGATTCATAGGTCACTGAATCCCGATTCAGTGGATAGAACGTCAACAACCTGAAGGTACTGGATTCGAAATCTGATGAGATGATGGGCATGCACTACTGAAGAGTTCAAACTTAAGACAAAATATCTCTTCAGTGTTCCTTGGCTTTCAGTGATTCTTTAAGTGATATTGATTCCTAATGAAGTCAACATCGAAAAAGATTGTCTTTGATAAAATGAAATAAAGCATACAGTGAAATGGCATCATTCCACAGTTCGTCTAAATTACCTCTATTATTAGCATGTTTGACAATATTCAGTTAAACTTAATAAAAGTAAAAATTGACAATGAGTCATCTTTTGTACTAGATCACGTTGTTTAGTATCTTCTTCATCTTCAACGCACAATTTTCGGTGCAATAGGTAGCGGTAGAATGCAGTAATATTTAGTAGGAGACTATTTACTTGGCAAACAGCATAAAGTGATGGCAAAATACAAAAACCTTTCACTGAAATTTTCACAAGTTCTTTGTATTCTGCTTCTTTTGCCTTCCTTGCATGTTTCTTATACTGTTTCATAAGGATCTGTCATTTCTCTTCTTCGTAACTTAAATTGTCACTGCATTATTCAAGATTCTTGTGGAAGGCATCCTGCACGATATACCACTTGCAAATTCCTGTCATTAGTACAAGTCACACTCGTCTTCTAGTCAAAAAGCCTCCAGTCTAGCCGCTTTGACCTTCTTTGCTGTGTCTTCTTGCCAACTTCTTCACCCCATTTTATCCATCTTTAAAGTTGGCTGGTCTTTTGTTTGTTTCCTCCTCTAATGTATAAACGGGACCATATATCTCGTGTCTGGTTCATCACACTTTGGAAGGAGTTTTCGTTGACCTGACCGTCTTTCGACAGTGCACTTCCTCTATGTATACTACACCTGATCTCCAGCTTCAAACATTATGCATTTATTCTTTCTTCTCGAATTTCGCAGCGTCAACCTTCTGTTTATGCTACAAACTTCTGATTGCTCGGTTTCCTACTTATTTATGCTTCACTGTTGAGGATGTAGCCAGGTCTTGTTGTGTACTGGTGGTCGTGGTTTTCTGCAATGCATCAACTTAAAGAAACACTTTGTTGTTACCTGGACCGAAGTGCAATGTGCTAGTAGACTCAATGAAAGTTCTGTCTCCCAGTCAACACCTCCCTTTTAGGACAATCACCCCTTCACTGTGAGGTTATTTCTCCCTGTCAAACAATTAGTTTATGGATTATACACTGCCATCACGTGTAGTCATCAATTTTCACCAAGTGATATTACAGACATCCTAGTACACATACCTGACCAGTACATGCCTTGTCTCAAGAGGTCGGTTGTTCTGGAAACAAGTATGTGTGCTACCTGGGTGGTATTCTTGTATCATCTCATAGCAGAGGGACTGGGGTATCTTTGTCAACCAACTTCGATTATTCTCTTGCTAAGGCAAAGTTCCGTAAGAGTTTAGACTTAATCAATCCTTCTGTTTAAGTAATATGGCTAGTTTCCTATTCGCCATAGATCAATTTACTTCAATCCGGTTAGTGATCTCCCATATCATCGTATTCAGGGTAGGATCCGACGTTGACAGCAGGTAGGTCTTATTCCAGTACATGTACTCTACATGCAGTTTCTGGTAACTTACTTCTGTCTTTCGGTCGAGGTAAAACGTTTGTCAACAAAATGTCCTCCCCCGGAACGAGATGGTGAAGCCATAATCTTGCAGACTCAACCTTCACTGCGACAGCTTATCAAGGGAGCCTTTTGCTGTCTTCAGCCACTATTGTGGCTTATGTTCAGTCTCGATATGGAACCCTTGGCCAAGTAGATAAATTTTCCATTAATTTAACGCCCATACTATTACTAAACATTCTTTTCCAGCCATTGAGTGTTTTGCCCCGTATTTGTTAGAACTCGACTTGCACAATCTCCAAATCTTCAATATCTCAATGCTGCATCTATTACATAATCACTCGCATTTGTAGACACCATGAACAGCTTTCCAGGTACAAGTAGTTTTAATGTCAATTGTTGGTAGTCTAAAAGGTGTTTAATGCAGTGGAATATCTTCTACAAGTCTACCAACCAAATAAACTTTATCTCGCCTAGTAGTCTGTACAATGAACTTCCTATCTCACTGAAATTTTCAAAAACTGCCCATAAAACGCTGCTGTCTCAAAAAATACTGCAGTTTTCTCTTCTATTTCGGGGCTCCTGTGTCCTTTATCGCCAGAATTTTCCCAGACAAGCGTTTTATATTACCGTCTCTAACTTTATATCCCAAAAGTACAACATTCTTTTTAGTTGTCTGCAATTTCATCTTGTCGATACATAGTCCGAACTCTTCAATGTATCTTAAAACGGCTTCTATGTGTTCCACATGATCCTTTTCTGTCTGGCTATATATGACTAGGTCGTTGTTACGGCCCAGAGTATAACAGTGTATCATCCTTTCTCACGAATCGTGTGATTTATCTTCTGATGGAGTTAATATGTGGATCTATTATTTCCCACGTATATTGTGGTTTAGTATGTGATTAATTCATCGTCATTTTGTCCCACTTTGGTCTTTGGCGGATCACCGACCAATCAGAATAGACATTCCCAGTCAATAAGAACAATACATTCTCACGATAGTGAACCCACTTAATTACGGTGACGAAAATGTATAAATATCATGTGTTGTTTCTTAAACTACATAGTACAAAATACAATATCTTAGTCACAGACCAGCCTTTGTCTTTTGGTATTTGTGTGGCTCAGTGAATCGGGAAGTACAACGGACAAAAAGACACATTAGCGTACCGGTCGAGTTCATTACCGTCATAGTAATTAACAGGCATAGACATAACAAAGTAGTTACGGGGTTTATTCACTCCAGTACAGTTATAACAGTCGTCAACGTACACTTCCATATTCTTTACATTCTCACGAAACAATGTCACTAGTCGTCGAAATGTAAACCCAAGCGATATACTTTTAAACCGATATTGTTTCTGTTCCAGGTTAAACGCTGTCTTATCTTTGTCGAACTATTTTATCGGTATCTACCAATAAGCCAATCTAAATTGGTTCTTAGAGGGTTCCTTGACCTATGAATTTTCAGAAAATTATTCTACTGTGGGGTATGTCAGTCCTTAGACTTCAACGGTTTATAAACTGCTATACTGTCCACTCCATGAAATACAGAATTCTGATAATAACATATCCCCCGGAACAGTATGTTCATTTGATACAACATAAAACAATGCTCTGTATATGCATATTAGCAACTATGTACTGACCTATCAACTACTGAAACTTTGGGACACTGAAATTATGATATTTGATTTTCAATTACATTCTTCGCAGACATTTATTCTAAGACGCTTATTTATGCAATATAAGACGGATTGTTGCTAATGATAACATCATGGTGAGATGTCCAGTTAATCGAATGTTTCAAAGTTGAGCTTTGTCTTCATCAAACTTGTTTCTTTTCTAGCCAAGAGGATAGGCGCTTAAACCAGTCTGTTAAACTGCCTGTTAGATATTAGACTCGATACAGCTTTCGATGAAGAAAAAGACTTGGGATAGGTAACAACGACAGGTTGATTACTGGATCATCTTTTTTAAACAGACAAATATTCTCAGGTGTGTAACTTCTCTAGCTAATTCTCCAGTGACTTACAGGTTTGTAAATAGTTTCATTTCAACAAACACAAGTTTAAATTTCTTGTTCAATTTCTCGAGTGCAGCTTCATAAAGAAATAGCAATGGTTCACCTGTATATATTTTGTAATTCTTTTTGTATTAAATCGTCAGATCATAACCATCTGGTCCTACTTCTAGGATGTTTCGCAAGTATATGTCTGTGCTAAATGAATACTAAATTATGAAAATGTATTTAGTGACCTATAGATGTTAATTTTCCTGGGTAACCTTTCGCTGAGTAAGGAATCATTTGTTCTTTTGAGCAAAATATCCTTCGTCTCGTCGCCTGAAACAACCGGATGTCATACGTGTGCTCTAGGACACACTGGTTGTTCAATGGTTCCTCAACTAGCTTCGATGCCAAAAGAAATGTACCTTGAGACTAGTTAAGTGAATAAAAGCCTAACAAAGAATAAACTTATACTGCCTCTTGGAGGAGTATTAGATATCTCCTTTCTTTTGCATTCTCCCTTTACAACTATGTAACTTACTATTTGATAGTATATAAAATTGACAGTGACATTAAAATGAAACATGTAATTTTTTTATAAGTTAGAATAGGTTCTTCAACTTCTTTTGTCATATTCAACTACTAGTTAGAAGTAATGAGACCAAATGAAATTATTCGACTCAGCTTGCACACTCTCTATAATAAAATTTCCCGACAAAACGAAATGTAAGAGATAACAAAGATTTCATAGAAACAATGATCAGAAGTCTTAAACCTCTTCACGTTTATAATACAAAACCTCTGATCTTTCTCCTCCAGTCTGCATTGTTATATCTTTAACAATTTACACAGTTTGGGTGGTGAAATTTCATCGTAGTAGTTTCCTTTGAAAACCGAGATTATTTCGATCACAATATGCTGTGATCTGATTGATACGATAGATCGTAATCAAGAAAGAAAGAGAATTTGCATAAAAACATGTACTACTGCTAATTGGTTAGAATGAGTAGTCACATACCACTCATACCAAGCAGCAGTGCTT